AGAAATCGAATAACTGTGCTGGAGGAAAAAAAAAAGATTTGTCAGAAGTGGGATTCGAACCCACGCCCACAGAAGTGGACTGCGACCTGAACGCAGCGCCTTAGACCGCTCGGCCATCCTGACTTGTGAATCGTGTCCGTATAAACTGTATAAATGTGCACTTCACATTCTAAACATAGAATATTTTTTTCTAATTTAATTAGATTATTATTGCGACATATCATTACGCAAGATTAACATTCGCAAGCAAGCAAGTAATAAAAAACTCATGAATTTGAAAAAAAAATGTGGAAAAACTGCTATCGAGTCATATTGAGTCATATTATAATTCGTTCATTTGTCAATTGTTAATTAGTTCACCAATGATTTATCACATAACAACGAATATCACGAAATGGTACGTGCGTGTAAAGGTTCGTGTATCAAAAATAACCTCTGAAAAAAAATTATTACCTGGATAAAAATATGATAAAAAAACAAATCCTAATTAATTACGCGGCTAATTTTAGTAATACCTCGTAAATGTTTCTCGGAAATATTTGCAGCGCCTCCTTGTAAGATCTCCTGCAGTTCGTACGTGTATTACCGACGAAAGAAACGCCACGTGCGCTGGGATTTGCAATACCGACCACAGTGCAGGTAGTTCCCAAGCTAGATGTCGGTCAGAAGAAAATCTCCGTGAAAAGGCGCGCTTGAGAAACTATGAGAGCTTTTCCCTCAACACAGGAACTTTCACTTCCGTGTGTAAAGACATGGCATACTCCATGTGCGTTCCGCATTGTTATCACGTAACAATCCGACCAGCATGTGACCGAGTTGTATAATATTCTCTCCCGCGAGTTCCGACAGAGAGTACTAGAGTAGAGAGCACTACAGGTAATTATAACAGTGTGATCTTAATTGTTCTCTATGAATCGTCAAGAATCCCAGACTGCAAAACAACCTATGTTCATATACGTAACCACGTGGTTAGCTTATGTCAATTTTTTACAATATTTCATTTTAAATTGAGTGTTTTGAGGCAGCGTACGCATAGTCGAATCATACATTTTTTAAATAATAACACAGGCCGACAAAAAACTTTTAAAATTCAAAATAACTTTAAAACCGGACGTGACGGAGCACCTTAGCCAGCGATATTGTTTACTTTTTGACCGAAAACCTATAAGAAACAGTCTGGTTAAAGTTACTTAACAACATTTTTTCCTCGGCCTATGTAATCACCAGTTACAAGCTTCGTCGGTTTGAAAGAGAAAGAAAAAAAGAGAAAGAGAGGATAGAGAAAGAGAGAGAAAGAGAGAGAGAGAGAAAGAGAGAGGGGAGGGAGAGGAGGAGGGAGGAAAGGGAGAAAGGTATGAGAGAAAGAGAGCACTCAATGCCATCGTACTACGCGCAAATACTTTCGCGAAGCATCGAAAGCAAGGAGAGCAGAAGTTCGAGACCGATCTCCCGCTTCCTGAGAGCGAGGACCGGTTGGTCGGCGGCCTCGTGCGCGTGGTCGATCACGTAGAAAGCTCGGTTGCATAAGCCGCAACCGGATCTCGCTAGCAGACGTTGTTTCCGAGAAAGGGAAGGAGATGAGAATAAAGAGCGCGCAGGTGGAGGAGAAGGGCGGTTGCTGAGAAATTCGGAGAAACTTTTGAGCTTGGGCCATGTGCGTGCTCGCGCGAGTACACCGCGCGGGGCGGCCCGGCCAGAGAGGGAGAGAAATCGCATCGCACTGAAAGTCATTTGCAACAATTTAACGCGGTGTTGACCTTACGTAAACGTGAAATAAAAGTGAAAATGCATTCGTAAGACGCGCCGTTCGATTACCCAATTTTCGCCGACGGCCCAGACCGTGCATGAAACGTTCATGCGCGCGTATCGTTATTACTTCTTCCACGTTCGTCCCTTCTGATAGCAATGAGAACCGCATACGCGAAGCGGCACATGACGAATGCATGCTCTTTTCTCGCGCACCTGTGCACACGGATCGACCGTAGGAGGCAAGCAAGAGCCTCGAATCGGGAGAAAAAGCTCGAGCGTACATACAAGGCAGACATCGATGCGACGCGCGATGGACATCTCGACGTCGTCAACGACGACGTCGTCTCCTCCACGAGAACGAAGACGAAGACGACGTTGAAAGAGCGAGCTTACACTTGCTCCCAGATACCAAACTCATACTTCTTCTGTTTACTGTTGGGTAAGCCAGGTGTCACCCGGGAGAAAAATTCCCTTCGCATCTAACCCCTTTTCTCTTCCTTCTCCATTTTCTAGACGCCATACTAAGAATGTCCGCCGTCTCGATTCCTGATATGGATTTGTATGGATATGTATTGATACCCGTTCGACGCGTTTCTATCCCCCGCCAATCTCAGCCGGGATCAATCATCCGGAGACCTCGTTACGTTCGTTATTTTAGGCCAGGAAGACACCGTCGAATTAAGATGACATATGTGAATCTATCGTTGCCAATAGTGTTCTTAACGTGCTTCTTCCTCCTTTCTTTTTCATGTTTGTTAAAGTGAAAGAAAGAAAAGGAAAGAAGGAAGAGATATTTCAGGAGGGTTACCCTAGCTTCCGGTAACCTGTCTAGTCCACTTGCGAATGTTACACACTTTGCGAATTGTCTCGCTCGCTGAGCACATAAATATCCGAATTGCTTGCTCGCTGCGCACTCAACATCGATTTCGATCGAGCGATTTCAGTTGTTGGCGCGTTATGCACCCGAAAACGTAACGCAATATCGTTATTATACGATAAAAAACATTTTGTGCTCGTATTAAAATCGGTCCTTGTTAAATAAAATTACAGTTTTCGCGTTGAATTTCTAACACACCGTGTGCTAATTTAACATATTGCGTTTATATTACTTCGACACATTTTTTATCAATATTCAACGTGTGTGAGTGTTAAAATGACACATTTTATATTTCAGCGTCGATTAATTTTATTTAATAATTGAAAATATTAATTTTGTGTTAATTTTTGACATAATATTGGTGTTACTTTTCAACATATTATTCATCTTGTGTTAAATTAACAGAAAACTTTTTACTACATGAAACGGTATTGTACGGGAATGTTGTGCCGTACGAAAAGAATAAATAGATTGCGAAAGAACGAGTGATTTTTAGATAATATAAAACGTAACAACTAATTAAGTTAATAATTGAGCGAAAACAACATTATCGAGTTCGCTATAATTGCACGGCTCGGACGAAGACCTCGGACGAGGCGCGCGGTAACAGGTAGAAACCTGGCACCTTACACACATCGTAACACATAAATAAGCCGCTAACACGTGTCAGTAATGAAGTCCGTACGATCCTTTTTCCAATTAGTCCACCTACTAATTTGCACGTGTAACGAATACGAACGGGCTACTGTTTGTTTTCCTTCGCGTTGCGCTTCCTGAAGTATGCATAATATTCCATTTCCTCTTTCACGTTTATTTAATAATACAAAAAGAACAAAACAAAAGGGAAAAATCAACGAAAATCACCCGCCTCGCGTAATGCTCCGGTCTGAAACCATTCTCGTCACGCGCGCAGCTTGACGACGCGCGCGCTAAAAGCTGCATTCTTACGGCGGCAAGAATCTAGAAAAGGTGCGTCGTCTTTACGTAAACAGTCGCACTACCACCGTACGTAACCTTTCGTCGCCGTTCCACCTGTGCGATTACGCAACGGTCTTCCTTTGTTATTACCACGTCCGAGAGGTCGATTAAGAAAATGTAAGTGGAGCATGTCTGATCACATACTTTTCCGTGAAATCGCGACGCCATTACAACGGTACGGTTACGGTAACGTGCGAGAAACGTTCTCCCGTTGGAAAAAAAAGAAAAAAAAGAGACAGGCAAAAACCTAACTTCCATATTGCACCGACGTGTCTCGCTGCGCAAGAAATATTAAATAATAATAATATCATTGTCATTGGATCATATTGCTAATGGTATCCGTGATCGATAGCGCTATTTACACAATTACACAGTCCCGCCCGATTTGATAGGTCTCCCACCGGAGCGGTGGAAAAACCGGCTGAGCCACGACATTTCTTCGGGACTCGGAGAAGGAAATGCATTTACGGCGGTAAAGTGCATCGTCGAGAGAAAGGGGAACCCACTATTCGCTGGTGAACGCCGTCGCGGACTTTATTCGCTTCATTCAGTGCGTGATCCTTAGTCTCATATGTGCGGGCACCTTCCTCCTCGTTCGGCAGGACTCTCCACCGCGATTCATCCCCCGTACGTTAATCAGTGATAAGGGAAGATACAATCGTGCGATCGTGCGAAGTGTCCGGGCAGCGAGTAAATATTGTCCGCGCGATAAGACGTCGTTCTTTTCCGATAATTAATCGGCGAATATTAGCGAAATCTGAGGAGAGAGAAGTAATACAGAAATATACAGAGAGAACACGTCGCTTTTAACGAATATATTTATGTATTATAACGAACATATTTCGACGAGCAACGGACGATTCGCGGATTTATATCGCGGGTGTGTAAGCCTACGAAAATCGTTGACGTTTTAATTAAATATCTCCGAACATATTTGTCGAAATAACGAAACTATTCAAGATTTGGATCCGTCTGCCGATGTCGTCGAAGTAACTCGACTCGCCGAAATTTCAATCGTCCCTGGCTGAGATTGATTTCCTCCAAATCGCTGCGGGCCGAAAGGAACACGCCACGACTTCGCTCCCGCTCGCCAAAATCAGCAAGCGAGGAAGCGTGATCCCTCGAATTCCCGACGTTCATTCGACATCACTCGCCATATCCACGTATCTCTTCGAGCATGTCCGAGAGCCCGTGCAAGTAAACACGTGTTAAAGCGGCACTATTCCCGCGGGAGAGTTCCGTCGAGTGCTACTAAGATGACGGTAACCGGAGGCCGCAACGACAGAAATCGATGAGATCGAGGTCTCCGGCAGGTTAGACGAAAATCTAGTCGATCGTTTTCCCCAAAGTGCGAGCGAACTCTGCCGATCGTCCTTAACGACAAACGGAGGTGAATATGGCGCGTGCATTGCACTACCTTCTCGTAACGCTGTGCGTCGCGCACGTGGCGATCGCCGAGAAGGAGTCCAACATCCTCAAACTGAGCAAGCCGCAAAAGATCGCGGTCAAGACGGACTTTAACGCGACGGAGGGCAAGGACGAGTCTAAGAAGCGAGCGTCCTCCCTCGCCTTCAGCAAAAATAATCCGGAGCTGGACTGGAAGAACTACTTGAAGACGTTCGACGAAAGCGAGGAGAAGCACCGGGATTTCGATTTAGATTTCATGAAGGAGAAACTCGAAAGGACGGCCAACAGTATACAGTGGCTCGTCGATCTTTACGATCCCCTCAGGTGGGCCCGAGTGCCCGGGAAACTTCAGGACGAGTGCAGGAGGGATATGGAAAGATTTCTCGGAGCGCTGAGGGACGGGAAAACCTGGGCCGCAAAGAGTAAGTGGATATACTTTGCATATATATACATATATTTGGAAACCTAGCGTATCGGCCCGGGTTGCGGCGTTTTCAGTATCCAAAAATTTTTCACACCTCGTCTGGTCCCAAGTAATTGAAAATATATTCCTTCGTGAACTGGTGTAATTTAAATTCTCCATTTTGACACGTGAAAGATATTCGCATGATAAATCTCAACGACGATAACAGGGAAAAAGTAATTACGAACTGCGAGCACAATAGCTCAGTTGATTAAAAGAAATTCGTCCGATGAAAATGCGATTTTTGAGAACAAGTCGTTGATTAATTCGCGCGTCGAGAATGCATCCTGTGGTCGATGAATATTGAGAAGACGGGAGAATGTATGGTCGATCGGTTAAGTCTACGATCGCTTGATCGAGTGCGTTACTAAAGACGTCATTATTTCATGAAACCTCGCAATTTCCCCGCTTCGCAATGGTCAAAGCGCCCTGACCCGGTTCCGAGTTTTGATTTAATATACCTCCTAACACTTTATAGCGATTTACGAGTCTTTACTTCACACGCTTCCGCGGACGTTGCGTTACGGAAATGGAATTTGGCCGCTATTATTTCCAAGATGACGCTCGGCAGGATTCAGAGGAGAATCAAGAGCGAAGGTGCGCGAACGAATCGCTAAATATTAACATAATTCGGAACGATGCTGAAGCACGAAGGGAAACGCCGCTGTTATCGTAGCACGAAGTTGCGTCGGAGAGAAAGAGAGAGTGAGAGGAGGTGGAGAGCTTTCCATGTCGACCGCAAAGAATATTATCTTGGTCTCTCTGTAAGCTACTACACCTGTTTAACTTTCATTTTTACCCTGTCACGCCTGGTAAATTTCCCGATAATGTGATCGCAGGATTAGAGATTTCCATAAAAAAGGAACGGATATGAGAACAAACTTGTCCTCTCACGCGCCGCGTTCACGATAATCCAACGAATGACTACACGATTGTAAAAGTTTAATCGTGGACGAAGATCGGAGAATCGTAGAGATGAATAGATATATTCATATTTACTACGAGCTGTACGGAGCTCGATGTCTCTCTCGTTCTGATATCGTAACGAACTGGGCTATGCAGGATTTCCCTAATGACATTTTATTCTACGGATTCCACTTCCGCTGCGGAAGCTCTTCTCGCGGCTCAACGGTATCGCAAATTTAATGATATTATTGTTCGCTCCCATCCGGGACGGATTTTACAGGTGGAAATGCGCGACACGCGATTAAGCGGGAGGAACGAGCGACGCAAGTATACCTCCGCAGATATACATCCGCGACTATTGTTATTATTATCTTATTATCTTCGCCGAGTAAATAACAGTAAAATATAACATATTACATTGGATCAGCTGTGAGGTGGTACAGGATAATCCTTAAGTGTTTCAAGCGGTTTAATCATTTTCTTGCTGTTTCGATTTCGAAAACCCACAACATCCGGAGTCGTGTCCGACGAATCGCGAATCAACATTTCGCATTCGGCGCTAATAAAATTATTTACAATATTATTAATATTAAATATAATAATATGTAGAAATTACTGTATATAATTAAAACAAAGGTAAATATTCATGCGAGACTTCAGAAATGTATATTTTCGAGTTTATCTAAAAGAAATCCCTAACAATCATCTGCCAAACGAAACGTCCCGAATGAGAATAATCCTTCGAAGCTGCCACGCCGATCGTGGCATAGAAAACAAGATGAAGGTGAAAAAACGGCCGGAGGATTCGGGACGACCCGGGTGGTAGTCGGGCGCGCACCGAGCATCACGAAGTCGCATTTACGATGACTTCCGGTCACGCTCCTCGTCCGCATTATCGATATGCGCGGTAATAACGTTGGCGGATGCGTCGATGGCCAATTGCCGCGCGCGCGCCGTCACACCGCCGGCGAGAATTGTGAAACTGCAGCCGCCGCGACACGCGACACCCGGACAGGTGGTCCTCGTGTTTGCGCGGCCGACGGCCGTCTCGGACGTCGAGAACGAGACGCCCAGTCGTGGCCCGTAATTCCCGTAATTAGAAAGCGGCGCTAATTGTCGAAAGTAATTTTTCATCGCCGACGCTATTAACGGCCGTTCCGGTGCGGCTCGTGGCACGATAATGATGTCGTTAGGCGCGTTTAGGGAAATTTGGCAGAATCGTCGACTCGTGCGGAGGAAGGTACTCCGAAAAGTACGCTCGCCGACTTTTACGCGCCGGCGAGAACGATTTGCGTTAGCGCAACGCGCGCGCGCGAAATGCGCGACGCTAATAAGCGAAACTTGAGCAATTATCAGGTGGCTCGGCACGATGGGCAAGAAAAAGTTGCATCGACGATTTCGCGTCGCCGTCTGCGCGCGCGGATTGCCCAGAGGATTGTTTCCAAATACGCCGGCGGGACGCATTGTGCAAGCCCTTTCGACGCCTCGGTCTCGCCGCTGTCGTAACGCAACGCGGCCGCAGTCATTATATTCGCAGAGCCCGGTTACCATTAATCAGTCGGACGCGTTACGCCATTGTCGCGAATTCCAGTGGCGACGGAGCCGCTTTACAGCTCGAACGATATCGCGCTAACTTTATAGCTCTTACCGACCGCGGAGTACGTCGCGCGTGTGCACCGGTGCAGATTGAAATTACGTCGGCCGATCGAATTTTCGCCGACGGGAAATCATCCCGCTCGAGCGCGAGAACCGTTCAAAATATCGGGCTTCCCCCCCCCCCTTCCTTGCAAGCGCCCGATCGCGCTATCCCCTGACACTCCCCGCTGCGAGGAAAATGCGACATGCGCCCACGAGTCTCCGGGCCGCGTGGATATGTAGGAGAAAAACATCGAAGTTGACATAGATGTGGAAAATGGACACACTCGCGTTTCCCGGCTGTGTAGCGCCGAACTCTGTCGAACGGTCAATGGTCAGTCGCAAAAAGGTCGCAACGCTTATTCTGCCGGTTTCCGTTTGCCTAACGCGTTTGGTTAGATTATTAATTATGTTAGTTGGTTTATTTCGTGATAAAATTTCCCTCGAGCCTATCTTCTCGTGAGTTTTCCTGTGAGGAATTAGTAATGATTTATTCAACGATATTATGTTACAGTGCAAGTTGCAAACCTTTTCAATCGCTCCGGATCTCGCGCCGATCTTTGCCCTGTAAGAAATTTTCGACAGAGTGCAAACAAAATGGGTACGTCCGTCTTGGTACTTTTCCTCTCGCGTCGATATACCACGTTGAACGATCGGAAATCAGCCGCTCTCACGAACGGCGTCGCAATCTCCTGCGAGTGTCGCCCGGTTGATGGCGAGATCGGTGATCCGGCACGACGTGTGCGCGCACGCGGCCTGTCCGACCGCGCTTTCTACTCTCGCGGTCAGCCCGAGCTGCTTTACGTAACTGACAATGAACCCTCCACCGACGGCGCAGCGATGTAATGTCGGCTCTTTCAGGGAACTTGAAACGTTTCATGAGACTTTAACGCGCCGTAAAACTATGACGACGACGGCGCGAACGCGACGAACGAATAGATAATGACGATAAAAAACATAGTGTTAGCGTTGAAGTCCCTCTACATCTATCATAATGTCCGTCGCAGGCGGACGCAACGCTCGTCGCGACGGCGATCGCGAAAGTTGGCTCAGCTCTGACTATTACAAATGCGACGCCAATCAAAAGCGGCGTGCTCATTTGCACAACACTGCGCGCGCGGTTTTTGCGACGCGCAGTTTGCCATGCGGCTGATGTCCAGAGAAAACTTATCTTCTGAGAAAACCACTCTCCCATCGGACACGCAGGTGTGTCGGCTGGGTTCCGAACTTGATCGGAAAGAAACGTGCGTTGAACGTCGCGCAAACGAGAATACAGCTTTGACACCATCGACATTTCCGATTAGTTGTCGCGATGCCGGACAAGCTTCGTATTTGTAGTGGCTGAAGTTGAATCGACTTTTACAATGTGGAAGGGCCTTAACGAGCGCAGTATCCGGCCGCGCGACGTCCGTTCCGCGACCTCGAGAGTATGCTTTCCCGGGAGAAGGTGGGCATTCGCGTGTCGCATGCGACATCGTCTCATTGCACACCCAAAGCGTGTAATTTTACACACTTGCGTGTGCGAGTCGCTCTTTACGCATTTACACGCACTAATACGCGCGTATTACTAATGATTGTACACATATGAGCGTGTAAAAATTACACTCTCACAACGTATACTTGGATACATACTTGGATTTGCAGTGTAATGTTTACAGCGAGAGGCTTTATCTCCCTCGTTCCTCGACCCGATGACCGACATTATTTTTCAGCCGTTTCACACTTTTATTTTCAGTGTCGGACGCGAGCGGCCGCTACTCCTCACAATTCCACTTCGGTAACGGCTTCTGGTTGGGCTCGAGTACCCTTTGCAAGGAGCTCAATGTCACCCACGAAAAAAATGGGAGAGGAATCGACGACGTCGAGGAGGAAGACGAGGGAGAGGAGGACCGGCAGCCACCCTTTCCTTTGAGATTTCACGTCGCGAGGCTGTATCTAACGCTGCCGAAGGAGGTCGATTTTTCGGTGAGGCGATCGTTGCTCGTCACCGACGTCACTTGTCGCGAAACGCTTGAATTTTTCGACCGCTATGGACGCATATATGCACGGAAAATAATTCAATTCGCGAAATGGAATTTCTTGTTGTTTGCGGACCAGGCGAAAACTCGGTTGCCGGAACAGGAAGATGTTCTTGTGGAAGGTTTCTACTTGGCCCATTCAGGGTTGCCGCTAAATTACAGATAAAAAGCGGTTGGAGGCCAAGATCAATCTTGAAATTCGGCCCGATCGATGTCGCACGGTGAAAAAAAGGATCCTCCCGCTCTGTCGATAGTGTGACGCGCGTAAAAAAAAGGAGAGAGAGAGAGAGAAGAGAAAGAAGGAAATAGGAAGAGAAAAAGCGACCGCACGCTACAAGTCGATGGAAAAAATTGGAATATAGCTTTTTCCGCGACCGCAGCTATGTTCCAATCGCTGGGAGCGATCGATACGTCGACGCGGTCAGACGGGGATTATAATCGCGAACGTCGAACGGTCTTCGCCGTCGTCGGTGCGTTTTTACGCGCGGATTTCTTTGACGAAGATTACTGACCGGTCGGATCCGGCTTACGCTCGTCGGAAGGTTAAACTCCGTCGCCGCTTTCTCGCGCGTGCAAAAGCGCGTAAACAGCGCTTTGCGCAGCGCACACGCGCGGTATAAACGACGTGACGCGACGCGAGAACGTCACGGGACGTTTTCCAGCAAGACGCATTTTTCCGTTGAATTCCACTCTCTCTTTCCTCTTATTCACGTTGTACAAAACACTCGACACTACGAAAGCGAAACTAATTTCTACTAATTAGCGAAAACTAATTTCAGTTATCTTTAAGAGTTGCCGATTTATCTGCGAAAACCTTAGAGGTTTCCGTAACACCCGCATCTCCTTTATTAAAGATATGACTTTCGCCAGGGAGGTCGAATACGTTTCGCATAACGACACCGTTTCCATTCTCTTTCCAGACACGTCAGGTGTTTTTGGGCCTCTGCCTGCCAGGTACATGCGACCGCGCATCTCTGGCTTCGATGCTGCGAGCCAGCGCCGACAGAGTCGAGCACGAGGGCAATTCGACCTATCGATCGAGCGGCCCGAAGATCCACGTGGTCACGGTGAAACCCGTGCCGTCTAGCAATTACTGCGCTTGGCGGGATCCGAAATTTTACGTGCTCTCGTGAGTAGATCTGATCCGCTTACGGCCGAGCGTAAATTGTTTGCCCGACCGAAGGATCGCTCTCTTCCGGCACGGTAGGCTCTGTGCCGCGATGACTTCCACAGAGGATAATGCGACATCACCGTGATCGATTGCTGGAGAATTGGCTGCGTCAATATCGGCGACACACATTAATAACCGCGGCAGGCCACAGTAGATTTTGCGTAATGCACGCTTTATTTCGAGAAACAAACGCGGGACTGACGCACAGGGAAAGAGAGATGAGGAAAAAGAGAAAGGGGGAGGGGGAGAGAAAGAGAGAGACAGAGAGAGAAAGAAATATAATTACGTGTTTAAAATCCGCAGTACAGTTGCAGGTACGCGGAAATTTTGCAATCGCGCGCTACGTAACGCAGAAAGAGGGAATTTACTTCGCTAATCCGTATCGCCATTTCTCTTGTAAATTTGCATTCGGGATCCTTTTTAATTCGATATGGGCGACGACGTGAACGCGCGTGTGACTAAAAAATAAAAGAAAAAGATATTAAACGCGCACGTGACGAGGTTCAACGGTAATAAATTGTGACCGTGCACTCATAATTCCCGGCGAACGACAGACGAAACGTGGAGGAAGGGAGGGAGGGAGAGAGAAAGAGATTCGGTAGTGGAGCTGGCTAATTTCCACCGCGGGTTACTGCCAAACTTCGTCACTGTGCACAGTTGAAGTTCGGGCTTTGTTAGTAACTAGCGGAGAGAGGAAGAAAGGGGGGAGACGCGTAAGAGGATCCTATCGGCCCTTTCCCTCGCCCTTGTTTCACCCATTCTATGGAAAGTTGTATTTCAGCCGTGAGACTACCTATTTTCTAATCAGCCGGACGACGACGAATGAGATCCGACACGCTCCATTATTTATTACGCGGCCGAGATATGCGAGCGAAACGCATTTATGCGCATCTGACGCGGCCGGTTGCGTAAGCGCGCCGAAAGAAAGTGCGGAAAGTGTGTTGCGCACGTGAACACCTAACGGATGCAGGTATGATTGAGCGAGAGAGCGAGCGAGCGAGCAGCCCGCGGCTACACCGCCGTGCGTGGCTCGTGCGGTCGCACGGTGCATCAACACCGATGGCAATGAATCGATACACCCGCGATTTTTCACGTACTACGTGATCTTGAGCGGAGAGCGCGGACGGGAAATCGCAACGTCGAATTGCACCGCTCGAATCGCGCCAACGAGGACGATGATACTTGGCGATTAACGACCAGCCAAGAAGCTTCACATGCGCACTTCTCGTGCGGGCTATTACTTCGCCGGCTATACAGGGTGAGGCAATAACTATTACCACCAGGACCATCTTCAGAATATGAGAGGAGAGTAATTTATCCAACAGAGGTTGCATTGATACCTGTATCCATCACTTGGAATACCTTCCGGAGATGTAAATTTTTTTCTCATCCTCGCTTAGTCCTTAGTAAAATATTTAAGTGTTCTCTCGAAATTTCTCTGAGTAAAACCTCGCTCGAAACGAGCGGGAATTCGCTCCGAGCGATAGTGAAAATATTGCCACGCGGAATGGAGTGACATTTCACTTTTCACAAGAGTGAATGTTCCACTCCGAGCGCAGAGTAAACGTTTTCTTCGAAGTGAGTGTTCCACTCGATTGGAATGAGTGTTTTACTAAAAACGAGTGAATTTTTCTAATTTACATTCTTTAACGCGTCAAGTATTATTTCTTATTACGTTGTACTTAAAGCGTCATTGATGATTTTGTTTCGAAATCTTCTCAATTATAATTTATAGTACAGAACTCCACATGGTGTGTGAAAACTTATCATGGATTCCTACCTAAGGATTTGGGCTTTTCGACACAAATTCCCAAGAGTCACCGTAGGATTCCATACGGATTTCTTACACGGAATTCCCACGTGCTTTTTTCCAACAGAGCGGGCGAAAATCGCTCGGATGAAAACCTCCTTTATTCCACCTAGCCGTTTGCAAGATATTTAAACATTTCCCGAAGGTATTCAAGCTGGTAATCGTTATTGTCCGACCCTGTATACATGCGTACTCCGACGAAATACAAGCCGATACACGCGAGAACCAGCTGACTCGGCGCAATTTCAATCGAAAGCCGGGCTTACTCTCATCGGGTGTAAACACTTTCGGAGTTATCTGTCAAGTAACTTCGGTACGAGTACCCTCGCTCAACTTGATCAGTAAGCCCGGCATTTCGCGAGGAACTCGAAGCGAATCCTGAGAAAGCAAAGTTCGCGATACCGCAGCGCGGACGGCGACGAAGCCGAGCAGCAAACGCGAAGAAAACCGCGGTAAGAAAGAGGCGTCCGTCCGTGTCTCTCTTTTCCTCTCGTGACCAGCTTTTCCAATTCTAATTCTAATTCGTGCCCGGCCGCGGAAAAAATGATCGACGTCGCGGAGTCAGTGGCAAACGTCGGCGCGGCATACTTTCGCGATTGCGCGATTTTCACTCCTCGCGGTCTCGTCGTCGATCGGCGAGAGGAGAGAATCCGCAACCGCGACGCTGCCGCGTTCGTTGCGTAATGACGCTCTCATGCGAACTGACGGTGTCCGCAGAGGACGCGCCACCCGGGATGGACGGCCGCCGAACGACGGTGTCATTGCGCGCACGTCGCTCGCACACGTCACCGTTGACCTTTCTTAACCCCGCGGATCCTCATCGCGGGGACGCGACTATCGCAATCGTCGGCGTAACGCGCGGCGCGCCGCATAATGAGAGTTATGCAAATTGCGTAAGCTCTCCACTTGAAAAGCGACTACGCCTAACGAGAACGGGACATTCGTCGTTATCGCGATCCTATATCATGTAATAAATTGCCCGCTATTTCAGACACGCGATCCCGCGACGCGGATATGCGTCTCGGAGAAATGCATATTCCATTGATTCGCCGTGGCTACTTGAGCCGCACGCGCCCCCTTCCCTTGTCCTTCTACCTCCCCCGTGTCGCCACATTGTCTACGGAAATAAGACGTTACACGGATCGACGGATGGAAGCATCATTCGTGCGCGATGTCATTACCGTTCATTCATAAATATCTGTTTTCATCCGCTTGTAACCGCCGACTTTGTAAACACCGCGCGAGCAATCAGACGCCACGTGTACGCACATGGACGCCTAACACGTGCGAATTGTACGAGCAGCCGCTGATTAATCATGATAAGGTAATAGGAATATTCTGGCACACGGGAGAACGTCCGATGGGAGATTGGATCAAACTCTCTTCAGGGAGAAATCGCGCGGACGTTTAATCGGACGGCATTTCTCAGACATACCGCACGGCATTACGTGCGCACAATCGTTTCAGAAGGTCGATTTACTTCTGTAACGTTATTATGTCAATTCCCGGGCGGTATCACAATATTACATGCATACAACATTGAGGTGTGTTGCATAAGGTGGGCACTGTTATAATAAAACGGTCGTCGGCGATACGCGCGATCTGCTTAACGAGTTTGAATCACCGGTAATAAGCGCAAGATAGATGCAGGAAAGCAGAGATTTTTATCTCCCTCGCACTCGTTCCCCCATCCCTTGCCCTCCCTCTCGACGGCGCCGAACGTTAATCACAATCTCTCTCTCTCTCTTGATCTATCCTTATCGGAGAGACGTACGTTGCACAATTCGAAATGCATTATAGCATCCACATCGGCCAGCGCGCCGAACGCACGCCGTACGTGGCGCCGAAGGAAAAGCAAAACATTGACGAGGCTCCCGAGTGGTCAATTTTCCGTGCTGGCCCCCGGTATTGTGTATTACGTCAGTCGATGTGGCAACGCGTTATTTCCTACGAAACGAGAACGTCCGAAGGGACTGACAGGTCCATTCCTTCGCAACGCGTTACGTGTCCGAAAAATCTCGACGAATTTCGGGAGGCGGTTTTTCACGAACCCGAGCGTGGTGTGATTCAACGCACACTGTCGGGAGGCGTGCGTGTATATTCCGAGAGTGAACTATTGCTGAGGAACGCGACGCGTCCTTGCGCGCAATGCGTAACAACGATGAAGTAACGAGAACGACGATGCGGGACTGTCCGGCGCATTGCATCGGTTCAACTTCCAAGGAGAGTTACAATCTAATGGCACGATTGGGCCGCACGCGACTCTGTGAAAAAGTGAATTTCTGGAGCGTCAGAAGCAGGAAAAATAAAAAGAGAGAGAGAGAGAGACCGGTTCGTGCGAAATGACCTAGCAAAAATTTCGTGGCTTTCAGACATGTGTCGCCACTCGCCCGACACACGTTCCGACACGAATTCCGGATCGGCCGGCAACGTGAAAACCGCGTCAAATCCGCCGAGACACGGTGCAACAAACGCGGACGAATTCGATCGTAATTGCCGTTAATTGACGTTAATTCTTTAAAATTGCGCTGATGACAAAAGGTGATTTAAACCGCTGGATGGTAGAGCTGCGTTCGGCGTGACTATCAATTGCATTCGTCATAACTGTCAGTTGACCCATTGGTCTGCGAGTTTAACGTTCTCGTGTTGCTGAAATGAACATACAAGCGCCCGCTGTCGGCCGTTCCTGACGGAGCCAAAAGGCGGCAAATCGCGGCCGGCCGAAGCTGACCCTCAAGAGAGCGAAACCTGGCATTCGATGAGCCGGTTTTGCAATTACGCGTACCGGCGGGTCGTCGCACGCACCTGCACACCTCGCGGACCCATTGCGCAAGATTATAGAAAGCCCCTCGATGCACGTGAAAGTGCGCCATCGTCTGTATTTTGACGGAATGCGGGCCCCAGCGGCGGATGCAAATCATGTCCGGAGTACGTTCGGCCGCGGCTGATTAAATCGTTTACAGAAATGGAAACCGCCGCGTGCGCGCAGCCGCGTCTCAAATGCAGCGCGTCAAATTTTCACGAAACAACGTATCGATCGTGCGCGACTTTCTTTCGGGGAAAAAAATAGCGATCTTTCCATCCGCGTCATTTCCTTCGATTTCTCTCGACGCGACCTCGTGAATGTCCGGTGCGCTTTGTGGAGCACTGCAACCGTGCGATTAGCATATCGTGCGAGGTGAAACAACCCTTTAGCGCGTAGTCGACATGTGCACGATTGCGAAGCCACGTGATAAATACTCTTTCTTGCGTTTCCCCACCTTCTACGCCGAGAGAGAGAGAGAGAGAGACACGATATATTCGAGGATATCAGAAAGGAGCGAGAAAACGAGATTAAATCGCGCAAGCGCTCGACTCTCGGACGGTGACACGGAACGGGACGAAAGCCTCGCTGGTGTCGATCGAACCGGCCTCGAGAATGACAGAGAATTCAGTGCAGTGAACTGACTCACCGCAGAAATCGATGTACAGCCGTCAGCCGCATGCCTGTGTGCACGTGCACCCGTGCGAGAGCAGCTTAGAGGATCTGTAATCAGATAAAGGAGCATAATTAAGAACTGGTCGCGGGAAATTGTGTTTGCAACTTAACGCAAAAAGCGTGTATCCGGCAAAGAAACTCGTAGCTTTCGTCGAATCGATTTATCTCGTCGCGCGCTCGAGACTTTACTCGACAAAAAAGAAAAGGGGACGAGTAGAGTAGCTTCTTTAGCGGGTGGAAGCTGTAAGCGGTGTGACGGTGGTCAAAGGATTAAATCAGAGCGGCGGAAATACGGGATACGCGGCGGAGGGAGAGAGACGGCAGAAAAAGGGACCGACAGAAAAAGCCGCGACAAGACTTCGTCCCGGCGAAACTTTTGTTTCCTCGCTTCGGGTAGCTTCTGCTCCCTTTCCCTACGCCAAGGCCGACCTGTTAAAATGGGTCGAGTGTAAAAAAGGAACAGAGGCAGAGAGAGAAAAAGAGAAGGAGAGAGAGAGAGCGACATCAACCACAATTTAAAACAGATAATTACGGCAAAGTTTACCTAAAATTCGCCTGAAAACGCTCGTTTCAACGAATGTAAATACGAGTATGTTTACATCATTATTTTTCACCCCTTTCCGCGCAGAAGGAAAATCGATCTTGCATTCGTCGCACATGCGCGCGTGAAAAGAAAAATGTGAATCTTTTATAGTACTTTATAAAATATTCAGCGCTTTCAGCACATCTAATGATAAACATATGCCGCAAGAGCGCACGTGTGGCTTCCTCTTTCTCTCGTCGTAATTAACACGGTCGGGGCATTATTAATTTTAAGAGAGAGAGAGAGAGAGAGAGAGAGAGAGAGGGAGAGATTAAATTGGGGAACGAGAACGGGCTGAAAATCGCTAGTTTTCCGAATTTCTTAAAATATTAAGCTTCGGCCGGAGCGGCGGCCGTGCGCTGCCGGTTGCGTTGTTTAAGCGGAAATTAAAAAAGTTAGCGTACTCGCCTTGGTAACATTTGATTATTAAAACGCGCCGCGGTTGCGTGTGGCACGACGCCGCGCTCATGTAATCCGTTTCTTGTCCTCGGAATTTTTCCAACGTTCGTTTCTTATCAAATTCATTTCACCTTATAATTTCTCGAAATAGTCCGATAATAAATATATCACTGCGCGTGAACGTGTTTCGGCATGAATTAAATGCTGAAACATTGAAGCGAAGCTTCACGCTGGCGGGAAGCGCTCGAGACTCCGACGGCAAGAGAGGAACTCGGAAAAGAATTCGGACCGCGGAGGGTTGAATTCGCGCGGCGATATTGTTTTGATTCGAAGCCGTTCCGCGCACACGACGAAAGGGCGCGTGTTCTACGGAACGTCGATTGTGATTTCAGAGCCATCGGCAGCGCCATACTGTTCTTGATGATCTGCGCGACCGTGTACGAGTACAGGTCGCTTCCCCCGGTGAAGGACATAGAGTCTTCGAGCGCGTCGAATAACAACGACAAAACCAACGATTTCATGGACAAGAATCTGAACGACGAGCGCGGGATCAAGCTGGGACCGGAGAACGGTCAGGAGCTGATCGAGAAGGGGACGAAGCGGCCGCAAAAAGAGGGCCCGACCCAGAAGAAGGACCGCGAGGAAGGTCGTTAACATACACGTCGGCGCTCTCTTACGCCGGAGATACCCCTTAATTCTTCCCGTGAAAGCCCCTCATCGCCGTCGCTCTTTCAGGATTCTGGCTGAGATCCCTGCTCGCGTTCAGTCCTATCGTCAACGGGAGCAAGATTATTAGCACGGAGCCCGCGGCCAAGGATAATCTGACCTGTCTGCACGGTCTCCGAGTGCTCTCGTTGGGATGGGTCGTCATGGTGCACACGTACCTCCAGGTCTTCTCCATCGCCGGTAATTTCGCGAGACGGAAGGAATAAAAAAACGCACCGGGAGGGGGAGCGGGGAGGGGGTAAGAGAGAGGGAAAACGATATCCCGTTCTCCGCTGGTCTCGCGCGCGTCAACCACGTGCGCGAATCCCGGAAGAGCGGGAGATAATAGCGCGGCGGTTGTATCGTCATTAACGCGGCACTTCAAATTAATTGGATCGCTCTACTTTCTATAAATAGTTCACGATGCAATCGATGCAGCCGCTGTGACGTAACAGGATGCATCGACTTTCCCGATAATCGAGACTCCTCGTTGCTCATCGGGCGCGCGTAGCGCCGAGCGTATCACTTTCACCGGCGATTTCGCAATCGAGCCTTTTTCTCATTGCAGAGAACAAGACGCTGCGGACGGTCACCGAGAGGAACTTCATGTTCCAGACCATCAGCAACGCCACGTTCTCCGTCGATACTTTCTTCTTCATCAGGTGAGACGGTGGTGAATTTTAGCTTCGATTAAGAACGAATTAACTTTCGACAATGTTGCGCACAGCGGCTTGCTGGTGACCATACTGTTCTACCGATCCTTGGGCAGCCACGGCAACGAGAAGGGCAGCTTCCTGAAGACGAGCTCCACGAAGTTCGTTATAATGATTCTGTACCGATTTGTTAGGTACATCTTTATTATATTACGTATCGAGTCGAATCACAAATGGGATGGACGGTGCGATCGAAAATATCGATATATTTCCTATCGCTATGTATCTCAAGTAAAAGTATCGATATATACCGAAAATATCAGACGGGATGTATCGGTATCAGCGATATCGATATTGTTGATTATGATTCAGTCTGCAGTCGATAATTGAGACGGGATCGTCGCGTGTAGAAACGTCCCTTGTCACAAAGTAAATCGGTTCAGTCGGGATGCGAACTGTGTATACGAGTCTAATATTGACGCTTCCCTTTCACGTTAAGATTGACGCCGGCTTATCTCTTTGTGCTGGGAATGAACGAGATCGCCATAAAGCAAGCCCAGGCGAGAACAGTCTTCTCGCCCATTGTTATCGACCACCTGACCTGCGAGAAGTTCTGGTGGCGAAACGCCCTTTACTTAAACTCGCTGTACCCGCGTACGGAAATGGTAAGATGATTTATATTTCGCGTGACTTAATACGTAATTTTTTTTCCTCGCCTCGGCTTACTCGGCGAGATATGAAACAGCCCTTCCCCTTCCACGTGTTCATTTTGTAACAGCATCTGTCGCAAGTGCGCGCCACGAATCTTCGGAAAAATTTCACGGCGAGAAGGAAGTTCGCTGAGTACCGAGAAGAGAACGTCCCGTGGCGCACCTTCTTTCTCTCTCTCTTCCTCTCTCTCTCTCTCTCTCTCTTTCGCGCGCGCTATCGAAATACGTGCGTTTTAAAGCGGGAGAATTCCCGCCGGCTTGTGCCCACCATCGAAACTCGGACACTCAATAATTAGAGACAATAAATGCGGGCGTATTGCAAAATATTACGTAAGACGTGGTTACGTAAAAACGAGTTTTCATTAATGACGAAATTTCAACGAGCAATGAAGGGGAAAGACATTTAAGGTCGGTCTTTACGACGAAGCGATACTTAACGCGTCGCTTTTCGCGAACGCGGATTTTCCCCCGCGCGCCCGAGGAGTTTCTGTTTTTTCTTCTTCTTCATTTGTCCACTTTCATAACTACCGAGCATACACCCGTATACTCGTGCAATCTACCGGCCATAATTAATTCTGGACTGCTATGTTCGTTGCACTATGTGCAACTACTGGATTAATATGTTTTTCAGTGTATGCTGTGGAGCTGGTACATGGCGAACGATACGCAGTTCTACGTCCTTGGGATATTTCTTCTTTTACTCTCGGTAAAATATTTCAAGACCGTGGTCGCTATCGTCTCGCTGCTGATCGCCTCTTCATGGTTCACCACGTTTTCCATAGCCTACAGCAACGATTACATAGCGAGGTAATGTCCACCGGTTCGCTATGATTACGCGCGTTACGCATTTCGCGGTTTCGCCCGAGCGGTGTGTACGCAGAGAGAAAGGTTCCTTTGAATCCAATATTCTGATTTGTTTGATTTGGACACACGTTCGATCAAAATAATATGATTTTATGTCAAAATATTATTTCGTTTCATTAGATTAAACCACGTTGTTTGATGGAGAAAATACTATTATTTGGAGGAAAGATCAAATTTAATTTTCAACCAAGCAATATACGATTTACTCCTCGCGCAGAATTCAGGAGCCGTTCGCGCTATTCGACGAGCTCTACGACAAGCCCTGGCTCAGAGCGGGACCGTATTTCATCGGCACGATCACCGGTTACGTCCTCTTCAAAACAAAATGCCAACTGAAACTACCCGTGGTGAGTGTGCCGTGTACAGTTATTCACCGGAATGCTTTTTTCCGAAGACGTAATTCCGCAAAATCCGTACATATCGGACGCGAGCGCGGCGGGAGCGCGCATAATGATAATAACAAGGTGGGCGATTATGCAAAATAGTAACGACGACGGCTGTAACGCCGCGAGAACTTTCCGCCCGAGTTTCTTCTCCTTTTTCCTTCACCTTTCTTTTTTAATAGCGCAAGCGCCCTCAGAGCCCGAGCCCGAATTGTCGATCTCCGAAGAATCAGATCTGTTCCGATTATTCCACCGACAATTTCGTGATTACCTAATGATCGAATTATAAGTCACCATTGAACCGACAATCGGAATAATCAATTCAACAGGGAGCGGGACTGATCGGCTGGCTATTGTCCGCGATGATCATGTTCTCGGTGGTGTACGGCCTCTACCCTGGAAATCTCACGGTGCTAACGAGCAGCGTGTACGCAGCCTTGGGTCATACCGCATGGGCAATGGCTGTAGCTTTCATCGTGATTCAATGTTGCACGGGCTCAGCACGAATGATCGACAGTTTGCTCTCACTTAGGCTAATGTATCCTCTCTCACGGCTCACGTACTGCGCCTATCTGGTGCATCCAATTATCATGATGGTCACATGTACGCAGATGGACGGGCCCCTGCATCTTCACAACGGAGTTGTGGTAAGGCGGAAAAAGAAGGAGGATCGATCCTCGGTTTTGCGAAATTATTGCATCGAGTCACGAGTGATTACCGTTTCCCTTCTCTCTTGAGGTTCTCTCATGCGAGATATTCGGCCCCGACCGGCCAAATAGGATCCGCTTACGTTTCTCGCTTAGAATCGTACGTTTGAAACATTACACTTCCGACGAGAACGTACCAATTTTCCAGTTGGTATTCATCATTATTTTAGAAAATCGAAGCCGGGATTCCAATTAGATCTCGAAAAATGTTCCACGCGGGCACCGACTTGTCTCTGCAACTAATGAATCGCTCGGTGACTTTCGACAATAATCATTATTATTATATCGGCCGTTTCAAGCAGAAAGAAAAAATCAGGTATTAACACAAAACGTTTTTACACATGTTTTTTTCGAAGCTCATCGTCTACTTCGGTAACCTGGTGGCGTCGTATCTCCTGTCGTTCTGCATCTCCCTCGCTTTCGAGGCGCCGGTGGTGAATTTGTTGAAAATTGCATTCATTTCGAAGAGTGTGAGGTAGAATACGATCGCTCGCCTGATAGAAGGACAAATGCGATTATCCAGCGCGGTAAGTACGAGGGAATTATCAGCGCGAGTTATCTGATCGATAACGCGACTACGCATCCGTCCCTTATCGTCCCGAACGTTACAAAGTTTTTCGTTTAAAATAACGTAACGAAGTAAAACGATAAAAAGAAAAGACGAATCTACGATCAAGTTTCTCCCTATTGACACATCGACGTCTCTTGCAGGTAACGACGTTTCTCCGGATTCAATCTCGACGAGAAAGACACGAGTATCGCCGAATACCTTTATGGGACGTGCCACAAATCGCCGATATGGATAATTCGGTGACAATTCGTCTCACTGAAGCGAGCCCCGAGCTCTCTAACATTAGAGCTCTCCTCCCAAACGTAGATAGCTAAATCGCTCATAAATCGATCATTGTGTCACGTCGTATTAACGAAAATAAAGTGAACCTTTCCAAACGCGACGATCGACGCGGGGATTCGTCGGAGATTAAAAACTCTCGAGGAAAACAAAGTTCCCCGCCGACCGGAGAGGACACTGTCGAGTTTTGCGGGCAATTTCGCTTCGTGCTCTCGCGGACTGTTTCGTTTGGTGCTCGCGGCGGGAACGAACGTGAATGATTTCTCAGCCGGTTTTCGTGCGCTGGACAACCCGCGACCCGCTACTGGTATAATCGTTTATTTACATAATGAATAGGAGAACGTTGTTTCGCCATGCCCGACAAAGCGTAAATCGCCGGTAATGGGATGTAAAATCGCATAGCGTGTTGCAGAAGACTTTTCTCGCGCGCGGTTCACACCGCGAATGCATCGCGTCGCGTGTCCACGCCCACGAATGAAATCTACGGCGATGTAACCATGGATATATTGAAATAGCCCACGAAAACAACCGATGAAAAGACGCTCGAGCATGCAATGCGTATCTATTGCGGATATATTGTAAGGGTGATATGATTTGTCTTTTCTATTTCTGTGTGTGTAAAATAAAGAGACAGCCTTATACGGCGATACCAAATATCCCCGGCGATGTTTCATCGTGCAATCGACAAGCGCATTGCACGTCGTAGCTCTTTAAAACGTGGGAACAAGCCGCACCACCACCGTGCTGTAACTTACCAGATCGGCGAGAAATCAGCCGGTTATTAAGATGGCGGCGGCAAGATGAAGCGGCGATTTTCCGACCCGAACTCTCCCGGCCGACGGCGGTGATGTTCGATTATTATACTCTATCCGATTATTTTACTCTAGGATAAAAAATTTTCATCTCTCTTCCGTAGCTGAGTCGTATTACTCACAAATAAAGTCCGTCCGACCAGCTTTGAGTCGTGTTGCGTACTCGACGTTGAGTTGTTAATAAAAGTAGTGGCGACTCGTAGCGGAAATTTTGGAATTACAAATTTCGAAGTAGCGACCGAACCTCCGCTAGATGTAATGAAATGCAACTCCCGGACTGCCCGATGCCATCTAGCGGTGCCGCAAGAAATCTCTTTCCGCTAACAGGTTCACGCGTCGATCAAATAAGGTTCGCTTCTCCGCTAAATCCCGATTAGGCCCGTTATTTTTTATTAGTTGCTATCTCCGCTACAAGCCGCCGCCGTCTTTAACGTCTTTTAACGCACAACCAAGACATACAACTTAACGATAAGCGAAGCGAGAAAATAAATAAATTTGAATTAATATTGCATCATGGACCATCCAGGTATTAGCGATTGCAAATTTCTGTAAAACCACTTGTCTTCCGTCTAATCGTCATCAGCGAATATATATTGGTCTGAACATTAGGACACTCCGTGTTTTTTAATAAATAATATAGATATATAAAAAGATCACTTCGAAAAAGTTACAGTTGATATTGTCATATCTGGCAATACTGAGCTGTAGCTCAGAATATTTATATAAAAAATATGCACCGGGTAATTTAGAATGAGAACGCACACCGCATCCTGTCAACGTTTTATTTTCTTTTCTCTCACTGAGTTATCGGAATGTTAAATAAAACATTTGTTGTCACATAAAACTCTGCGCGAAAACTTATTCATAAACTTTACAAGTAACAAATGCTCGATAAAGATAATATAAAAAACATCTCTCGCTCGTTCTCCGCTCTCTGCAAGTAGCTTGCCGAAATATTACAAACAATCGTCATCGAGATCAGTTCGTGATCATTGAATCATCGCTAAACGTCGCGACAACGGACACGTGCTCAATTGATCGCTCGGAATTCGCGTTCGTCTCGCTCGCCAACACATGTGTAGTGTGTGAAAGGAGAAAAAGAAAAAGAACAACGTGAATATATACAATCTCGTGTATCGTTAGGTTAATAACGCAATATTATTGCTCTCGCTTAGGAATTCCGTTCGGCGAATTTCGAATTCGAGTGCACCGACGGACGCGGCTGAAGATCATCGAGACCGTCCCGCTCATGCCGTCAGACGTCACAATCTGGACAGCTTTAGCCTCGCGTAACTTCGCGGCGTTCGTTTATTTTTTTTTTTTTTTTACGACAATAGCATCGACATTAATTACGTGAGTATTATATTAGGTTTAATAGACCCCCCAAGATCGCGACTAGTGATGAGACAACGAATACTTTGCAACGTTTAAATCGGATCCTCCGCATCCGCATCGTCGTACAAGCGAAATAATCCGCGATTCAGTTACAAAGTGAGGTGAATCTATCGGTAATCAATCGCTCGTCAATAATCGCCAATATTCTGCGAAAAATTAGGCCGACAGAAATCATTGACCGTATGAAAATATTATTCCTCTTATCAAATTAGAGCGTCAATTATGAAAAGAAATTAATATCAATTGAAGATTCGTATTCTCGTGTATAAACGGGAATATTTAATATTATATCGAGATAAAACTTGTTCACATGAAGAACACGCAGTAAAACATTTCAAGTTAAATTTAACGTAAAAATAATATCGGATAGAACAAACTATATTTACAAACTATAAAGTGTATCAATTGGAAGATATCGTTCTTCCTGTATCCAAGATTTTTCCTCCCATTTCATAGAAATTATTCTTGAATAACAAGAATGTGATATTTTTAGTGAAATTAAAAAGAATACCTTCATGCAGGCGAGTTTTATCTTTACGTAAGATTATACTTTTTTTGTTTACATATAAGAATATAAATCTCGAATTGATTTTAATCCCTTTTTCCATATAGATTCATTAGTCTTCCTATAGTGCTATAAAAAATATCGGTTTCGAGACTACGTTAAAATTTGCGGCAAACGAGTCAATTTACAGACTGAGGTGTGAAAATATTCAATAACCGGGATTATATAGTGTCCTGTCATTGCAGCTTCGAACGATCGTTGGCGAATCGACGCGTCAATGACCGGGCACCGCGCGTATCGATCTATCGTCGATCGTGTCGGCTGTGAAAAAGACGTGAAAATTTACAGGAGCTATAAAAATAACGTCTACTCGTTACAGATATCTCTTTACAAGTCTTACACGATCTTTGTGCCCGCTATGTATGTATTAAAGAGTACGATATCAAACGTATGTTAGCTACTAAGCAACAATATGCAGTGAGTAGCGGTAATACTGTCCTCCGCGACATATTACGACATCCCGTATCATTTCTCGCTCCTTCAGCGTCGGTTTCAAATTAAACGACGATTCGTTCGGATTCTCGCGAATTTTTCACGTCGTGAATCTCTCCCGCCGTTTATCCGATCACCGTTCGATTCGTCCGACTCCCACCGTCGCGCTTTCTCCGTCTTCGTAACGCTGAATACGGGCCGCCAACCGCTTCCCATCGCGTATTTACATCGAACGATATAATCGTCAGAACAAAGAACCGGAAGTAAGACGGCCGTACGTAGCGCCACACACGTTTCGTCGGTGAGAATGCAAGGTTTTCGTTCGTTTTCATTTTTTTTCTTTTTCTTTCGTTTTTTTGTTTTTTTCGTAACACGTCGCAATATCGTTTCGTTACACGACACGAAGTTCTCTACCTTCGTCAACTAGCTCGCTATCGTAACAATAAGCCGTGAACAATCTCTTAAGCTAACTCTACCATATAACATATACAGCAAGCCATATATAATAATTATTGCACATACTGTCCTCGTCTACAACTGGACATGTATACATACATATATATATATATATTTATTTATTTATTTATGTATTTATATTTATATTTATTTAATTATTTATTTATTTATTTATTTAACGATATATTCCAATCTTTATTCTACACGATAGCGTTTGCGCGTATCATTCAGGGTAACGTTCAGCAATGTTTCTTCTATAATCCTTTCTATACATATATACGAAGAAAAATAAAAGATTGATATTCTTTGATCGGGCTCTTTCGCGTATCGAACGTGCAGTTTTAAGGATAAATATATGATCACGAGACGATCACTGCAACAAATGCGCGTTATTCGAGTAAAATAATAAAAGAATGCCTTTATTCTAGGTGATAACAAATTTATTTAGAAACAATATATCAACCAATGCGTAAGGTGCATGCGAAATAAATTTATATTTTCCTGGTGGAGAAAAGTGATCGCGCTGACTGCGACCTCATTTCATTCACCGCCGCGCAATCAAGCGCGAAGTAATGACAAACGGAGTAAGAACGAGACGAAATGATGAGCATTAAAATTATTGCTTGTAATGGCATCTATTGAAAACACAAACGCACAACAATTTCGTCGAGACGTCATAAATTAGAGCCAAGATGCGGTATAAAGAGATAGAAGAAAAATGAATCTCTCTGATCACGTAGGAACTGGTCCGTATACTTACGGCGCAAGTATAGAACTCAGTTCTACCCAGACACTGATCACTGTTTCGAAAATTACACAAATATCTGGATATATACAAAATTATATACAAATAATTTGTTGTTTATACAAATGATATTTTCTACCTCCCCGATGTTTATATCCTCGTTAAAAGGTCGTACATTTGATATCGGTAAGAAGAAGAGTATGAAAACAACTAATGGTGTCTCTTTGATGTACACGTATAAACGATTTTGCTTTATCAAAATATATCGGAAACTATATGACAGAGATAACGAGGATATAAGCGTCGTATGTACATGTATATATATATACACACATATATATATGTGTGTGTATAAATATATATATATATATATATAGATCATCTGTATATGTACATCAGTAGTACAAACGTATACAATATTTTACACTGTGATGTACATCTGTATATATATATATCTCTCCGAAAACAGATACGACACTATATTTTACATTCTATCCTACAAAAAACTGAAGCTGTGTGACGTGTTTACAGTTTGAAGAAAACACACGTGGTCACGCCTGTTTCCCAGGGAAATGCTTTTGCACCGTGTACCTCGACTTTTGACGGTTCCTTTTGATTCTACGGTATCGTGAAATTTATCATTCACACAGATTGATCGTATTCACAGAGTGCCGCCGCTTCGAGCAAACGCTAGCATATAATACCGTAAACCGTACATTCATATAAAATCCCGGCGTTATAAGTAGTATTTTGGATGGAATGCTCCCGTCGGAGTGGCGTTTTGTCGCGCAAACTCCCACTTTTGAAAAGCCGCGTTGGCAAGACCTCGTAAGGGAATGTAACGAAATGCTTACGACTAAAATCGATGCGTCGCTTGCGGTGCCTAAATCCGTAGTAAAACTGATAACGAAACGTAATTCATTAATACTGATTATGGCGTTATCGTACCTTACTTTAACGAGTGACAATCCTCCGACTCGGCAAACGGGAATGCTTCGAAGTCCGAATGTCCGCTCTTCGCACATTTCGTCCACCTTATTTTGAATTGGAGTCCCAACGAGGAACGAGAAAAAACACCGATATACATATATATATTGTCGAAAACTTCCCACTTCGGGATGCCGTTCGAGAGGCGATTCCAAATCGAAATTTCGCATCACGATCATACATGAAAGTCAATACGCGAATTCAATTCAGTCGGTCGCTCTCGACCCTCAACTAGAAATAATAACGTTGGCAAGGTAAACCCTAGAAGAAAAAGTTAATACTGCGAACTAAGCACGTTACATGTTCAGACCTTAACATTAGGAATAGAGATCATATTAGTAGCGTGAGATTCATCTCGTCGGGGATTACGCACGTTGTCTCGATGTCGCCCTCTCTTCTTGCCGCGGACAAAGCAGCTGTTTCTCTCGTCTACAAAGCGGTACTCTCTATCGGCGACGTCGGGCGATTGGGTGTGCAGCACCTGTCGGGGGTATGGCATAGATTCGGCGTGTGCCGGCCGTCTCTCATCTGCGCGAAATCGACGTCCGTGAAGAAGTCGCTCTTCATAGTACCGACGGCGCTGTCGGCACCGAAGCTATCCTGCCGGCATATGTCGACGCCCTTGTAGCAGCCGGTATAGTCGCTCGGCTGGATCGCTTTCAGCTCGCCGCCGTAAACGGGAATCACCATCGGGTTATTCGCAGCGTCAGCCGTCGCCGTTTTGCTCCCGACGATGCGATCGCCGTCGTTCCGTTTCTTGGATACGACGAAGTCGTCCTGCTTCGAGTTGGAATAAAGGCTGTCCGTGTGGTACAAGCCGGTGTTCTGCTTTCTGACGAAGGTGCCGCCGTCCTTGCGAAAGTCACCCTTCGCGAAGCTGTTGAACGGTGAGTAATCCTCGTAGAAGATATCGCCCTTGGATTTCGAGGAGCCACCTAATACCGTGAGGCTTCCCTGCCTAGATAGAACGCTGCCGACGTCGGACACGTCGCTCTCCTGTCGGGACAGCCTGCCTCTGAGGTCCTCGTTCCTCGCGATTGCCTCCTGGTGCGACGGGGCTTTCGGTCCGGGCTTCCGCGGCGACGAAACGGCCTTGTCGGCGGTCTCTTTGATGGAGAAGGCGTTGTTCTTCGACGTCTCCTTGGTCGGTGATATTTTCGTCCTTCGCAGGTACCCCGTGGACGACTTCGTGACGCCTTCGCCGGCCGCTTTCTTCGAATCGGTATCGCCGCAACCATTTCGGTTGTTGACTATCGCTTTGTTCTCCTTCTCCACGGCGCCGATCGACTTGCCGATTTGCCTCAGGTACGAGCCGACGGAGCTCGCGGCGTCCGGTATCTTGAATTTGCTCTCCGACCTCGTCCTGTGACCGGCCGCCGCGTCGTTCAGCTTGTCCGTCGGTTTTGCCTTCAGGCTGTTGATCTTGTACGAGCCTTTGCTGTCGGTTATGTACTCCGAAGCGTCGGAAACGGTGGACGGGCTCGCGCATCCCGTATACTTGATCTTCTCTATCGCGGGCACTCGAGTGAAATTGTGCTCGCTCGGATCGATCTGCCTCGAATAAACGTAGGTATTCGGGATATCGGTGTCCTTCAGCTTGACGTTGTTCCGCAAATATCGGCCGCTGAAACCGCTCGAATCGGGGGAGATGACGATGTCGGGCGGCTTGTCGAGATCCTTCGATTTGGAGTTTTGCCTCGAATAACGTCCCACATTGCCGGGGACATTGTCGGTGGTCTTGTTGCTGCTGTTCTGCCTGGCGTACCTACCGCGCGGGCTCACGACGTCGCGCTGCGCGCTGCCCGGCTCTACCTCGCGTTCCAGCGTGCTGTCGTCGCAGCCGCTGCATCGTTTCTTCTCCTGATGCACTTGGCCCTCCTTGATGGGCCTCAGCTGCGGGGCGAGGGTCTCCGGAGTCGTGGACTCGCTGCTGCTCGGCCCCTTGTAATTCCTGATGTCGTAATCGAGATCCGCCGGCAACTCGGCGCCCACCGACAGATGCATCGCCAATCCCTCCAGCCAGACCTCCATCACTTCGAAGGGCGGCCTCTTGTCGGGATTCAGGTCGCAGCAGAGGAACGCGATCATGTAAAAGGTCTCCGGGCAATTGGCGCAGAACTTCTCCCTGAAGACATTTTGATTCAAGCCGAAGTCCGAGGACCTGGGCAGGTAATCGGGATCCGCCTGCACCCGGCCGATAATCTCGCATACGACGATGCCGAAACTGAATATGTCCACCTTCTCGTCGTATTTGTTGCCCTTCATCATCTCGGGCGCCATCCAATAAGGATTCCCGACCACCGTGTACCGTTTCTTCCGCTCCTTCTTCGTGGTCCTCGCCTCCCCGTCGGAATGCCGGTTGTACTTGCGGCTGTCCGGCGAACTGCCGTTCTGTATGATCCTCGCCAGACCGAAATCGGCGACCACCACGGTCTTGTCCTCGCGGACGAGGCAATTGTGCGAATTCAGATCGCGATGTATGATATTCATAGAATGCAAATAAGCCATGCCGGCAGCGATGTCCTTCGCGAAGGACGTGCGCTGTTCCCACGGCAGAGGTTCGTTCGTATCGTGCAGCAGGGCCCTCAGCGTTCCGCCCGCTATGTACTCGGTAACCAGATGCAGTTTCTTGTCCTTGTAAAGAACACCGATAAACCGAAGAACGTTGTTGTGATGCAACGAGCGCAGTACCGCAACCTGTTGAATCGTTTTCCCAAATAATACAACGTGCAAGACTCGGAGACGGCTGGAACGTCCGGAAAACGCGACCTTCCGAGCGTTCCAACTGTGCGCGCGAATACATCCGCACACATTTACTCCGATCGATTCGCACGCACGCACACACGCACGCTGAGATCTCGCAGAATTGATCGGGGAGGGAAATTCGTTACCTCTTTTAAGAAGTTCTTCTGCGCGTCCTCGTCCACTCTGTACAACTCCTTGAGAACCATCACTTCGTCCGTGTCGCGATGCGTGACTTTGAACACTTGCCCGAAAAATCCTTTGCCGAGAAGCTCGCCCTTCACCAGATCGCTCGCACGAAATATTCTCTGATTCTTTGGCTCCACGCGGAAGGATCTGGTGCGGCTCAGATCGCAAGTCGGATTCATCGGAGAGGATCTGCGGACCGGAATTCGATTTAGCGAGATCAGCATTTCGGCAAGACTCGACGTGCAATCAAAATACGGTAGAGAAAAAAGCAAGTAAACAAACGAGAAAACAAGAATCACTCTCTCACTCTGATTTGTCTCTTGTTTGTTTACTTTCTAGATCGTAATCGATTTGCCCAAAAGTCGGCTCACCCGTCGAGCAATCGCGACATAGAACTGCTGCGCTCTTTGTGCATCGGGTCTCTCGTTCTTCGTAATTGCCGGCTTCGCGCACCGCTGATGTAGCCCTCGTCGCGGCGTTTGAAGAGCCGCTCTTTGCCTTCGGGGCTCGTTCTGGGACTGCCGACGCATGTTAACATCGCCGAGGACGGTGAGGAGAACGTAGGCCGACGTGACACAGCGTCTGGGTCGTGTTCGATAGTCAGCTGAAACGTCGAACGCGGTTTACAGACGTTCAACAGGAACGCGCAAATATCGACGATAATTTCACGATGAAATACCGGTGATTCGCTCACCTGTAAAACTGTGTCCGAATACTGTATAAGATTTTCGATACTCTCCACCGGCTGATCTTTAACAGGGGTGCCGTTCACTTCTAAAATCCGATCGCCAATGTGTAACGATATAAGATCACTGGACATGTTCAATCTGCAACATTCATTTCACGGGATATCTTTATTCATCACTAACATCGCAACAACGAAACATGCAAACGTTTGCATGCACTATATTCTTTTTACTGTAACACAGTCACATGAGAGCATTATTACATACTCATGACAATAATTGCCGGGATTGCCGGGGTAAACGTAGAAACTCTGGACATTTATGATGAGAATGATTAAGAAAATGAAAGATAACGGGAACTTACAATACGAAAATAAGGATGTATATCTCTGTTTTGATCAATTATTAATAATTTTATATGTTGATATAATTTTACATCAGAATTAATTATGAAAACATAAAACACAGGGAGTTATCGGGAAGCGTGAGAAGCACGAGACACAGCTATGAGTAGCAGTATTAAACTGTTAAGGTTTATGTTGGCGAACATCATGAAATAACTTGCACCAATTCATTGTACGTGTTGAAAGTGTGGAAAGTAAAAACATGTAACTATTGCCATATTACTCACGGTGTGTGCGTGAAAATGAATTAGTCCTTCGACAATTATCTAAGCTTAACTTCTACTATAAACTGTCACTTCTTGGTATTAACATCGAGCATGCACGTGATACAAAATAACAATAACACGACATGTAGCGTAAACGGAAAATTGCACGAGTACATTTTTGTACATTCACGTGCGATTAACGCAACCATTTATTGAGACGCGAACGCAGTAGTTTGTATAGAGTTAGCGATACGTAGTGTGTATTATTGATTTGTTATGCAATACCTATGATTAGAGAAGTGGCAGCATAGCCTAAATAGAACCTCCATCACAGAGGCCAGCAGCTTACTGATCTTTCCACGAACATTTCTCATTAACCTGCGTTTTAGTTGAATGTTATTAGGGGCCAATATTTATTTCGTACTAACTTCTAAATAATCGATCATCGTCACAGAACTATCATGCACTGTGTTAAGTATTTTAGAAGAAGCAACCGAGACCTAGACACGTGTGTGAAACCATTGCGAATGAAGCGATCCAAGTGCTTCGCTCTTATTACACAAGAGAGACAATACAAAACTATGCCTATCTACGTAATTCGCAATCTGAACCCGGGAATTTGATTTATGTTACAAACGTCCGTCACTCTCTCTCGAGTCAGTTGACGCGTGTAAGTGACGGATGCGAAAGGATGTCGTGGGAACGTGAAGTACATCATCATACGTACTCTGAGATACGCAACAAAGCGCCGCAGCTGCGAGGACTGGGAGCCGTGTCTAACGTGAGTTTGATCCCTCTCTGTTTGTCCGGGTCCGTCGTGCTGGGAGGTATCTCGACTAGCCTGATACTGTGCGGTTTCCTGGCGAACGGATAGTTCGCCGTCCTGTTGAGCGGTTGCATTTGCCGTTTATAGCAAATCCCGCAGTACAACTTGGAGCGTTCGACCAGCGCGTAACTCTCGCCGTCCCCGATAAAAGCGCCGCATGAAGTACAGGCAAAACATTCTGGGTGAAATTTGTGATCCCCTGCCAGCATGACAGGACCAGTGATAATCTGGCCACAACCCTGACATGCTTCGCCGTAAGCAGCCCAGTAGTCGTCTTTACAAAATAGCAGACCATCTTTCTCGAAATACCAGGAGGACAGACCGATATCACATGCGGAACACCTGGAAGGCAGAATTTTTGTTCACATGTCAGTGTATGATCAATCATTTATACATCTCGAGAAACACTAATGGAGCGTGCGATGGCACATTGGTGACGTTGACGTTAACATTTCTTACCGAAAGCAATCGATATGCCATTCTTGATTCAACGCCTGTATAAATTCATCCTCGTCGATAGCATTAAGACAGCCGGCGCATATCAGTGTTCCCCCGCCCTCCCCACCTCCTGGATCTGGAAAACAAAATTGACGAATACATTGTTCTTTCCAAAAATGTCTTTCCTTTCTCATCGATATCAATCATATATAAATCTGTAACTTAATATAATTACTAATAGGCGATATAACAAATCTCTATCCTATTATACTACAATAACATCCTTCTATAAATAGTCAAAAAGACATGATTTTAATAGATATATTATTCGTGCCGATTTACAAACACTTGGCGTTCATAATTTCACAATCTCATGTGTGTATGCACATATAGACACGTATATGTAAGAAATACCATTTTAATATCACATTAATACTTCACATCCCGAAATTCGCTGCTCACGGTCGGGTGCGTCACGCCGACGAGCGCACAGATATGCGGTTAATTGCGAACAGATGGACTCGAGGGTCGCGGTAAGGAAACATGAATCACGTTTGACATTAGGCGTGAGACTCGAACGAGTTATCAAGCAGCTGATAACGACTGTCAACGAGCATGACGCGGAGGAGAGTCGCTCGGTGCTCCGTTTCGCGACGACGACCGTGTCCCTCGTTCGCGGGATCTCGCGGGTTTGCCAGGAGATAACCGCGACGGCACGCATAAATAAACTATTAACGTGGGAGCGTGGGCAAAGAGAAAGAGAGAGAGAGACACGGAAGGTAAGACGCCCACGCGATGCGCGTTCGGAGTCGACGTTTCGACGACGCAGCGTCGCTCGGACGGCGGGCCGCCGTCGCGACGCCCGTCTCAACGGCCCCGTCCTCGCGTAACCCGTTCGCGACAACGCGACAGCGTTTTTACCCGCAAAAAGACCTACCGTTTGTCGAAACTTCATCCATCACGGCATGTACGATTGATGCGCTCCCACTCCGCTCGGCCACCGAGCGTGAGACTCACGTAGACACAAACCTCGCGTACGACGCGTCGATCGCCTCGTCGCGCGAAACGTTCGAAGCGTTATGGCGCGAAAGTTCGTTTCGCCGCCGGCGAGGTGTCGTCGAAAAGCGAATACCCGCCTTTATCCCGTGATCTCCCATTATTCTATATTCTTTCTTCTAATTAAATTTAATCAAACTCATAACAATATTACAGTTATTACGTTTCTTCCTTCGTTTCAACAGAATGGTGCACGAAGCATACAATACTGGTAAATTTTTGTACTGTGTTTATATACGATATACTTATAAAATACGGTAAAATATTTTACAGGTAAATTATGTGTGAATATGTATTAAGAGAAAATGCACTTTTATTTTATGGTTTAATTATATTCCAGCGTAATTGAGAAGGAAAATCACAAAGATGTTGTATACTATTATTTTTTTTCTTCTAGACATCTTCTATTGCTATGCTGTTATTGCAATATATTATCTTTATTTCTTTTGCAATGTAAGGTAATCTGACTATTTGGAGAAATATGAGTAGGTAACTTTTTGGATCTTAAAAGTAAATTATATTGATATCTTATGAAAATATAGTAAAACGCTTGTTGTAATTACTGAACTATCTTCGTATACTATAATAATGCAAATCGTATTTGCAAGAGTCAATGTTTCATCAACGGTTTGCTTTCACTGCGCGAATTAATATTACACGTAGGAAATGTAGGAAAAGTGTCAATAGTTAATTAGCATGTCACTATTCCCGCTATTGAACTACCTGTTCTTTAATATAATTGGTTCGCGGAAACGTACTCTACGTTTTATAAATATATTTCGAAACAACTAGTTAAAATACAATTAAAAATACTTATCAGTCTACTTAATGCATGAATATACTTTATATAGTATATCTTCACGTCGTAATCCAGTAATAGAGTTATCACTATGATAAATCAATTATGGCACACTCCTAGAGAAATGCGTCGTGTAAAACAATCATATCAATTAATGTAAGCTTAGATTTTCGGATGTAATATACTTACTTATTGCTCTCAATAACGATTATTTCGAAGAATATATATATATATATATATATATATATATATATATTTCTTTTTTTTTTTATCCGATAGGAAAATTCTTCCCAAAGCGCGCGAAAGATAATATCAAAAGATATTCAATCAGAGTCATTAGAACATCTTTCTCTATAGATGTAGTAAGATTAGGCCAAACTGCTGCTCTCATCCGAATTAATTATAGTTAATATATACAACAGGATAAATTCGATGAATAACACAGTTTCGTTATCTGCGGATTCTAAAGGACAGTCTCTCTCTTTGCGAACAGAGGTGGACGTAACTTAATTTCTAAAAGATCGCGTTACGTATTTAGTGGTGTGCACGTTGGTGTGCGCGACAGTAAGGACGGCAATTTGATATATAATAGATGGTCGTTCAATGTGGTCGTTGTGTCATAACGTAATTCCCGTAATAACGAGATGAGGCCCTTTAACTTAAGCTGCTTTTTTCTCAGGCCTGTCCTTCTGTCGCTTCCGGATTCACATGTTCATATTCAAAGGCATCATGGGCACGTACTTATCACTAGGTCGGAATTTGTACTGTGAGCATAAGCGATTTGACACAGCCTCTGCGTAGCCATTCCTGCAATAAATTACATGATGAGAATTAAAGTCGAGTGATCGAGTCTCATTGGCAGAAGCAATCTTTATTTCGCAGTCCCGACGAAGCGATTTGCCGGCATTCGAAAAATTAACTCCCACGAGACCCTCACCCGAGGTGTTAGAATAGCTAAATAATGGAAATTAATTGCGACGATACGCCCAATGACCGTCACCAAAGCCGAATATATTGATATAAGCGCTAGAAAAATAAAAAAAAGACGACGCAGTACTCTTTCATTTTTCGTGATTCGTCGTAAAGAACAAAGTAATATCTCGGAAAAATTTCCTCGGTCTCGCTGCGAAGTCCCTAAACATGGCGGAGAAGGTCCTCAGTAGCGGCTTTTGAAATGCACGACTATTCAGCGGTTCTCCTGACAAATAGCTCGTCGCATTCACTAATTCCAAAGCGCAACTAAAATATGTGCATCAGAAACTGATGTATATCGTAAACAATAAAGATTAGTTACAACGATACGAAATTATATGTAAATCATAGCGGTATGTCTAGCTGATCCAATTAAAATAATAAAAACAGTCCTATATATAGGATGATCCGTTTTAAAGGACGCAATTGAGATTTCTCGAAAGCCAAGGCTTTCATTGGGAAATATTTCGTACAAAAGTTTTGTGGCTTCAAAGGGGAAAAAGAGATGGTGACCTTGACTTTGTTATGTAGTCCAAGGTCATTTCAAGGCTATTTCAACTTCATTTTTAGGATCATATAATTTTCTTTAATACAAATCGACTCCTCTGTTCATTCAGCGTATAAAAATACCAGGGTATATTTTTCATTTCTCTTTTGTTAAAAAAAAAGACTATACGATTCCATTAGTAAGATGAAATTGACTCTGAAATGACCTTGAATTACTCACTATACAACTAAGGTCACGGAAGTACATCCCCCTCCGAACCCTGCGACTTTATCCGAAACATTTATTCCTAATTTGCTTTATTTTTTATACATTACGGGCTTCTCAAATTATGTGCCTCATCCTATATATACGTACAAAAATATCCCCAAAAACACAACGCGCAAAACTGGCGGGAAGTAAGATATCAATGCGAATGAACGAAATGATGAGGTCTCAAAGAGACGACAAGATCGTACAAGACGCATACCTTTGCCATTCGGAGCACGGACGTCTCTCTTTGAAGCAGGTAACTTGAATGATATTGAAGAAAAGCGCGCCGATAGTATTCGCCACCTCGGTATTGACATTCTGCAAACACCTGCGAAACTTGGCGTCGCAGTCGCAATGCGAACGAGTAAACGGTGAATTATTGCATATACCATGTATGCATTCTTGCGGCGCTATCGTGAACGGGCAGTGATCGTGCTCCCTGCAGCAGGCATCCTCGGCCGCGTGTTGGCCCAAGTCGTCGTAAGAATCGGCCACGTCACCTGGTCCGCACCACTTGGTACCGGGATATATCAAGCCACTGAACACTTGATTCTGAGAACGAAAAGGAAAAAGGATTTAAACGCACAGTCTATCGTCTACGATCGAATCGAGGCGCGCGACATCGCCTTTTGCGGCAAATTCACCGTGAGATCGTATCCTTGTATATTACTGTCGCATGCAATATGACTGTCCATTCTTCTCGAAACTGACAGTCATAGTACAAAAATGTGAACGAAGTGTGAAAGAAAAGTCGGACGGCACGATTTTCTCGAGAAATCATCCTCCCGAGAAGGAAGATTTCTCGCGCGCCTCACCTTGGCTTTATCCCGCGAAGCCTTGCAGGTCTCCTCGAGATCAGCGACGAGGTTGCTGGACATCTGCCGGACCTTATTGGGGTCCGCTCTGAGGACCATCCTCTGGATGATCCCGCGGTCGTTGTAGAGAGCGCAGAACGGCGCGTCGGCGTGCATCTCCACCATCCTGGACATGGTAGTGTCGGCGACCAGCACGCTCGCCTCGGTCCCCTGGGCCCAGAAGGTCGGCAGCACGAGGATCAGCAACGCGATCATCTGTAAACGACGGAAGGTACGATCGATCGAGCCATCCGGAACGAATCCCGGCAAACGACTGGCGACTGGATTTCGACGAACGACACTGAATGCCGAAAAAGCCCAAGGCCGCGCCGTAGATCGTCCAACCTTCCCTCGTGGGTGTCCCAATCGACGTTGCCGACGAGAGCTCGAGAGCCCGTAAGTGAAGAACGCGGCTTTCGAAAGAAAGAGAAGAAGACTCTCTCGTCGAACAGCTAGCCAAACATCGGATACAAATATTTCCGATCGAGACGATGCTCCATGAAACGTCTTTTTCCCTCTCTCTCTCCCTCCGATCTCGTCAAGGCCGTTATTGATTCAACGTTCAACAAGCGCACGATAATTGTTAGTCGGACTGAATACGCTGCCGTTTCGTCATTATGGAAGCACAGAAGCTGTAATCCCATCTCGCCCGAAGTGACGGGCGCGACGAGGCGCGACGCCTGTATTTTCGCGTCTCATCGCAGCGAAATGCAGCGGGTGATTAAGCGCCGACAGGCGGCTAAGTGATATCATTACGCCCGAACAGGTACGTTTCATTTTAGGAATCGAACCTGGCCCGCAACCTCACCGTTGCTCACAGGCAATGCGCAAGTGCGGCTCGTCCCAATTCAGGCCGATCGCGAAAAGAGAGTACGCGCCCCGAAGGGGACGCGCGAGCGACACAATGTAGGTCAACGAGATTCATTGACGAATTTGTCCTTTGAACCGAGGGATGCCGACCGTAACTAATTCACGCAGTCTGGACGGGTGACCCAGTATATGCCGCACCGGCGCACATTGCTCACTGTGAATCACGATCATCAAATCTGTTTGTCCGTCTCATACTCGCGTCTTCTAGCGCTGGCACAAAATTAATACGCCGGTTCCCTCCGGTGTACTAACGTTAACCCGATTCAACTTCCGTTTCGTAATGGGAGAAACCGCTGTTGTTGAAAACGCATTGTTATTCACAAGGTGAATATGTTGAAAAGTAAATGAAAAGTAACGAAAATATTGTGAAAATTAACCAAAATTAATACGTTAATCGACATTGAAATATAAGATGTGTTATTTTAACACACACGTTGAATATCAATACAACACAAAATGTTGAAATAACGTAAACAATAACGTAAACAATGAAGTTAGCACATGAGTACGTTAAAAATTTAACGCAAAAATTTGCGTGAGCCGTTTAGGACATGCGAAATATGTCAAATTTAACAGAAAATTTCTTACCGCGTACTATCTTCGAATTTCGAATATTTCCGATACTTTATTGAGATTTTCCGGGAAGATAATTAAAAGGATTACATTCGATTCTTAAGTTCCCAGTTTTCCGCCAACGAAAATTCAAAATGTTAGATTAATTTCCTCAAGCAAATATTCTGCAACGAACGTTTCTACATCTAAAACAACGTTTTTCACCTTTAGAAGTTCCTCATCGTTACCTTCAGAAGTTGCAAAGAATACATATATTATTGACTTGTGCGCGTCCTCTGATGTATAACCAACAATGCAGGTCAACGAAGATCGTTCACGAACTTGTCCCTTGAACCTGTGCCGATGTGTGCCAACGGGACAATTTTATTATAAATAGACGCAGTCTGGACGACTGTGGCGTCATACATCTATCCGTCCCGTGCAGTTATCGTTGATTGCTAATCGCGATTATTATCAAATCAGTTCAACCGACCCAAGTGGAAAACCCAACACCGTATGAAGTATGAAAATGCAAAAATATCGCTTATATGGCGTCAGTCGCATCTATGTCCCTATCTTCCGGCGACAATCTTTACAACGATATAAAAAGCACTAGTTTGTATGTTTTATTACCCCGCTATTAAACGATGTAATCTTTAATAACTGCTTTATCGTTTCAGGCAATGCTATATTTTTTTTAATTCTAGCGATAAGGTTTTAGGGGAGCGTGAAGCACGAATGAAAGACGAGAGATAACATGTGAGACACGACAGGTACGAGCAATAAAAGGTGAATATTAGTCAATTTATATATTCTATATATCCACTTTTTTTATTAAAAAAATATTGTTTTCCAAAAAATCCAAAAAATGTATTTTTTTAATAAAAAAGGTGCGCTTTTTATTAATTAGATAAATAGTTTTTTATGAATGCTCAAATTTTTTGAAATTTCCTATCTATTCTTATATTTATATTACAAAAAGTGGAGTTATTTTTGGTGAACACTCGAATTTTTTTTAGATTTTCTATTGTTTTTTCACATTTTTCTTTTGATATAAAACTTCATTTTTTTTAATACAAAAATCCAAAAATTTCATTTTTTAAAAAAACCTTAGCTTTTAAACAAGAAATAGTAGACAAATCGATTCTTAGGGAGAAATTGTATTTATTGAGGTTTCTTTTATATAAAAAAATAAGTTTTGTTTTATAAAATAACACGAGTTAAGACGTATAGGTTGGCTAACTAAATAGTAAGATGTTTTGTAATTTCGATTTCATCGTAGAAATTATTCGAGAGCGTAGCTCAAACCTAACTCGACAGCGATAATGAAAATGCAATCGCATCCAGCTATTTTTGACAGATGATTACCCCTTACGAAAGATATCTTCGGGCTTCGATTCCATGATTTCGAAAGTGAACATGAAAGATTCGAGGATCGAAATATCTATAAATATGCCATGAATAGAACACAGGCGGCACACATGTCTTCAACATTATAATTATGACCATGTTGCTCGTACGATACTTTATACTTTTCCAAGCTTATCCATGTATGCGTAAACTTGGAAATCCCAATAAATTGCGTTTACATTGATCTGCGATTAAAAGTATCCGTTCGAAAACAAGCGAATAACGCTTTCATTAGTGATAATAATAATAATAATAATAATAATAATAATAATAATAATAATAATAGTAATAGTAATAATAATAATAATAAAGTATTGAAGCATATCTAATGCTTCGTATTGATGCCCGGATTAAGTTGATATTAAGGTCGAATTTTGACACCTCCATTAAATCTTTTACATAAGTAACAAATTACGAAATCGGAAGCAGAATTTATTTATTTATGTGCGTGTAATTAAACTTAGAGCCAAACGGCGCCACTAGTGCTCGAAGAGGAAACACCTGCGGTAGTTCGGAGACTTTGTATTCTGGACGCAGCGTTTAGCTTTTAAATTTGGACTACGCTCTGCACTTCTAGTACCGAAGGTCTCGTGTTATTTTTTTATAAAATACGTATATATATATATATATATATATTTTTTTTTTTTTTTTTACCACGCACTCTTCCCACCGGCAGGTTGCGATACGAGCGATGAATACTCGTCGTCGAAAGTAATATGCGACGAAATTCAACCTCGAAAGTGAACCAGTTCTGGCCGATTCGCCGTGTCCCGCTCAGCCGGAGACGCGGTCGCGTAATTCGGGGTGATCGCGGCTGCGAGACTGTGGGACCGGGAAATACACGAATGCGACTGAAAGAAGAAATCCGCTCGGGAACGGATGCGCGTCGGCCACCTACGTCAGTCTAAACTGCGCACCCTCTGTGAGCCACCCCCGTGGCTCCGTCGAGCTCGTTGCTGCAGTGCGTAACGAGCGTGCGAAGAGAAGGGTGCGGCTACATTTCCCCGGTTCGGAGGAAAAATAGAAACGATCGTAAATTTCGCGCGAGTAGCGCTCGATAGTCGTTGAAACGAGATTACGATGAGATTCTGACAGGAAGGTATTTTCATAATCGTGCGATTATTCGTTTAGAATATTATTACGACGAGCGGATTAATGACGGGATATTTGGCGTTCTACGGGAATTATCATGGGTGAAAAGTCAATCGTTATAAAGCAGCCTTACTAGATTGCAAATATAGTAGATATAGAGACGGTTGATAAGTCGAAATAGCGTTATTGAACCAGAATGGCTAATGTCGTGTCGCGGCAACAGGAACACGTCATAGCGCGCGGGTGATTGCTTACATCGCGCGTGCGGAATTTTTTTTCTCTTTTTTTGTTTTTCAGGAAAAGATGAAAAATGTTAAACTTTCCCGCGCGATTTTTTGTCGGTGAAGAAATTGGAAGTGTGACATCCGTATACATTTTAATACGACATGTCGCAGCAATTAAAATGACGTGTTGAAAAACGTTCGCAACGACAGAGCGTTCGTGAAAAATTAACGTGCGAGATTATATTCTCATAAACAAGGCAGCGTTGCTAAAAACGAAAAAAAAAAAAAAATTAAAATGTCAGCTAGTTCCACCACGGAAGAATTATCAAGCGACATTAGAAGCATGCCGATGAGAAAATTCTCCGCAATAAATGAATAAATATTTTCAGGCGTTAATGTTTTTTTTTCTCTTTGAGCGTGCATACCTTGAGAGGTTCGTTATCGATTCGGATCTCGGCGGCGAAATGATATGGGTCGCGCGAGAAAGAAATCTCGAAGACGATTCACACTGTTGCAACCGCGAAATTGGTTTGTCGCCCCTCCAACAGTTGCTATCAGACTGATGGTTCGAACGAGACGTCAGGATGCTAATATCCGCGCACGTATACGAACGCGTGCACCGCTCGCGTTACACACGCATTAGGGGAGAACCTAAATCATCTAACGGCGACGTGTTTATGTGGAGCACCCTCCCCGATAGCGCGATTGATTTTCTCAGATCCATCCGTGAAACTCGTCGGAGAAATTTAGCGTGTGTAGGCGGCTTCACATAGAACTGACTTTTGACATTAAACTTTGTATTGTGGTCTCGGGTTTTCCCTTTCGAAAACTTTGCATAAGAATAAACAGAAATAATTTCGTCCGTGATGTATAGCTTTGCCCGCTTTTTTATAATCTACTTTTATTTTATTAAATCTACTTTTATTTTATTAAATCTTATTTTATTTTTTTTGCCTTGTCTTTATATATATATATATATATATATATATATATATATAATTTCCAGATATTCTATATATATAGGTTGTTCGAAATTTTTCTTTTAATCGCTCGTGGTAAGGTAGAAAGATTAAATTGAGCAGGAAAGTTCTCTATCATTTTTCAAACAACCACGCAAAATTTCGAGTTATTAATTATTGAAAATTATTGAAAACGGCCATAGAGGCTTCTTTAATTGATAACTCAAAAATTTGCGTGTTATTTGCAAAATAGTAAAAGACTTTAGTTCAAAGTGGTCTAATCTAAAGGTATATCCCGAGCAGCACAAATTGATTGGCTAATCATTGCCCAACGTCTAGCTTAGCGACAGGTTCAAGGTGCGAGGTTCAAGGTTCAATGTATTGATGTCTGTCGCAACGGTGTAACAGTTGTCATTTTCTGCTCTGCAGAAAACTTTTCCGCTCAGTTTAACCTGTTTTATCTTCACACGAGCAATTAAAAAAAAAAGTTTCGAGCATGAAACAATATAACAGGAAAAATCAATATGAATCATTAATGATATTCTTGGGTATACGAGAAAATGCGCACACATAATAAATAGGCATTATTCTTAGGAAAAATTTTATTACATATCGAAAGAAATTTTTTTCTTAACATATTAAAAATTATATTAAAACTGAAATATCTTTATTTTTGGTCGTTATAAATTCTATTAATATATATTAATAGAACAGCTAGTAGCGTAGCCCATTTGCGAAAAATGTGCAAAGACAGTATTCATAGCCTAATCTTATACTTGATCTCAAGTTCATCTTCAGATTCTGTGAGAGCCGCTTCACTAGAAACCTGTTCGTTTTAGCTGAACTAGTTAGTTTTAGCTGCGCCGGAACTTCGTTCCTTTTCCTTTCAATGCGAGGTTATACACTTGCTTCACTCTAGAGACAAAAATCTAGTTCGGCCAAAAGGAACAAACATAATACGTGGTATTTAAAAAACAAAAAAGAACTTAACTTGAGATGATTTTAAATATAAGATTTGTAAATATTGTCCGAAAAGACGTCCTATTTTTGTCAAACGTCTTTACATACATATATAAGACGTCTTTCAGAAATTTATGCTGTCTGGGTGCTTTTTTTATTTCAATTTTACATATAGATATCCATTCGGGTTTTGCATATGTTCTTCGATAAAACGACAGAAAGTCATACCGTGAATCATAAGGAGGATCTTAACGGGCCTTAACTATCGTCGCCCACTGCGTCTACGTCTAATCGCCTCAGAATCGCGACTAATGCATGTGTAACGGTATAATAAAAGATTAACGGAATCGTTCGGACGACACTTAAGGGATCCACTCCACCTCGTTGGTCTCGTATTTGTTGCCGATGTACCTAACGTTCGCCGTGACCTCACCGTTTACATTCGTCGGCGACGTCGATGGCGTGTGCTCCTCGGTCCCGGTCAACTTGTGATAAACGTTGCTCCCGGTTTGGGCGATCCACTGGACGCCGTCGCCGATCTTCTCGCCCGCCTTGCGCACCGCGTTGCCGAAGCTCTCGGAGGTGAAGGTATTGGGGTCGACGTTGATGTCCAAGGTGTTGTTGCCCTGCGGGCAGCCCGTCTGCGAGATGATGCTCAGGTCGAACGGATCGACGCCGTATTGGCTCAGTCTCTGACGTATCTTGTCCACCTGGGCCTGATCCAACATCCGGCTCCTCGAGAGGATCGTCGCGCTCTGCCGATGGGCGAACGCCAGTTTCTGGCAGGTGAATATGCCGGCGTAATTGTCATAGTCCGTCATGAATATCACGTGGGACGCGGTCCCGGCCACACCTGAATCGCAAAATATTACCTCAGTTACGCAACCTGCGGAAACCCTAACTTGCAATCCGTCGTCGCTCGCGGACAAGCAATTAGCAAAGAGTACAGGAGAGTACGAGTCGACGAAGCGTAGAACGTAAGCTCCACCGCACTCCTCCCGAGCTAATGTCCTGTCATTTGCAGCAGATTCGCAGGAGGAAGCTCGGGATGTATACTTCGTAGACGAAATTGAAATCTCCGCGTAAGGAATTATCATACATAGCGATCCTCCCATCCCGGCCGATTATATTTTCTTTCCATGCAACTCTCCTCCCTCTTACCTCGCGGGATAAACTGTTTCGTGGAAAAAATAAAAATAAATAAAAAACAAAAAGAACCCAAGAAATGATTCCGACGTTCGTTCGTTCGAGGGACACTCACTAAGGGGGAAACGGACTTCCATGCGTCCCGGAGTGCTGGGCTCCGGCACGCTCAGCTCGCCGGTGTAGTGATACTCGTGCTTCAATGACGTAAGACCTGCAACACAAACGTATCGCACAATTACGGATAATTCATCCCACTTGCCGGACGTTTATCCCATTGACTCCTCTTTATGACCGTCGAATGGGTCCTGCGCGTTCGCAGAAGACGAGCCGTCCTCCCTTTCCTTCGCCCGCGACTATCCTCGTGCGATTCCTCGATCGCGCTTACCTAAGATCGGGTGGTCCGAGTCCTGCGTTAACAGGTACTCGCCCGGCTCCTCGCCCCGCGTGTAGTTGTAGGTGATGCACTTGCTGGCGGTCGACGTTTTCTGGATGACGTACCATATGCCCAGGAACTGAAAATTTACATCGAGCCGATTACGATTAAGCGAGCGAGACCAATTGCGTAATTGAGGAGGAATTGCGTATCAGCGAGGCGATTCGACTCAAAGTTGATATCTGATGCCGCCCGGATGCGAACGTTGCGAATGACTGAGAAATATTTTGCGAAACCGTGTCCCGAGGTGTTATTGCAAATATATAATCCCGTGATGATTATTCATCTATTTCGTCTTACCCGGCTCATTTGGAAGCCCTGCATAGGCTCGACGACGGGACAGGAGCCCATGTGATACGTGTGACCTTGCGCAAAAGCGAAGCACGCCGCCAATGCCAAGAACCAGGTCAGGGACTGCATCTTCTGAAAGAAACAAGAGATCGATATAGCTCGGACGGCGATTCGAATGTACGCACAGATCGAAGTCGACCGGTTTTTCTGGAATTCTCCGATATGAAATATCTGTATTGATGAACGAATGTCTGTTCACGCATGTATTTTCAAGTTTCCGATAACGCACGGGTTAGTAACGGGTGTTTCCCCGTGATGTGTCGGAACGCATTTTCCGTGGAAATGTCGCGTGGAAGGAAGGATAATTGTAAATCGGGTCAACGCTCGACGTAGATGTTCGAAAAAGAAAGAAACGCATCGTTGACGCTACGCGTTCTATCGATCTGCCCGGATAATTTAAATCTTACGCACAATGTAAAAAGCTCATTATACGATTAATTATACGATCAATCAATACGATTATGTATTAATTAATACGATAATTAATACGATATATGAACAATATTATACTCATAATAAATTAAAATACATTTAAAAAAGGGGACTATGTATACGGTAAGTAATAAATAAAGTAACAGTACGATTCGGCAAGAGTGTTGCTTGGCGACGAAATGCGTTATATATTCAAAAAGTAATGAATAACGTGGAACGGACTTTATCCTCGACGCAATAGCGAAGTATTTCGACGGGAGTAGTGACGTATACCTTTTTGTTTTAACGTGACTTCCTGTTCCCTACGTAACAATTTGCGCTCAGCACTCGCCGCACTCGGCAAGTTAAACGATCCTATAAACTCGCGTGCACAAACGTGATCTTGGATTTCAAGTACGACCGGTGGAACATGAATCACCCGCATCGGACACACGCGTCACGGATCAAAGACCTCTGAGTTTGTAATTGTATGCTCGTCTAAATAGCGAGTATACGGCACATCCGTCGTCGGCTTTACCTCTTATTTTATACAATACCACGAAAGCAGGCACGATGATATAAGATTAAAATCGACCCGCGCGACCTATCGTTCCGCGCGTCGCGAGAAATATTTTCTCTCTTCGAATACACGCGCAAATCAATCGTCATCTTTGCTCTTGCTTGCACAACAAATTCCATTAAACGCGCGATCAGGAATTTACTTCGCGGAAAGAGATCGTTTTTCCGGTTTCTGTTTTTTTATTTTTTTTTATTAAAAAGATTTCTACTATCGGTAAAATTTGATAATTTGTATAAATATCGATAAATGTCGTTACATTCGATAATTTATCGCGAATAAAGCAGAGAATATTCTTTGTTCTTCGAATGCGTGTAAGAACGAAGCGAGACGCACAGAAAACAAGCGGATAGAGGCTCAAATAAAGATGCGACGTATATGCAGCAGCTTACAGCTTCATGTTGCGAAGGATAAGATAAACGATTCACGCGCTAAGAGAGGAAATATCGGAGCTACAAAAGCCGGAGAACTGCGTACTCACTGTAGAAGTTGTTGCCAGTCTGTATGCTCGTATGCTATAAACAGAAGTTTCAATGGAGAGACGGACTTTATGTGGCCGGTACCCCACTCTCTCGCACCAATTACAGAACACGCATACATTCACAGAGGTATATTATACTAACGAATACCAGGACGCAGGATGTACCGTTGCTCTCCACGAATCAGTCAGCGCCATGATTCATTTCTCCTCTTTGTGATAAATCCAGTATCTCGAAAATAAGTGTACACATCGGACGTATGTACATTTAGCTTCAAAATATGGACTTGAACTTTATTTCCTTCGATGCAATTTGGAACGCAGCCAACGATCCAATGAGAGAACTTAATTTCTGGGAACGAATGAAAAACAAGTATTCCTATTGGGCCATCAGCTACGTTCCCCAACTGCAACAGGAAAAAATGTCCCAGCCATATTGAAACTAAATATGTACTATCTTTCTCCTTCTCTTTTTCTCTTACTCTTCAAGAAAGTCTGGGATTCTCGTTATTATAACATTCGGTTGAATAGATAAGTGCGATGACGCATCAAGGGCACGTAACGATATCAAATATTTCTGAGAATCACTGATTTAACATGTAAGATATGAAAGTTTCGTTTACTCTTCTCAAGATTCGATCCAATTTGAATAACTCTGTGATGGTATGTACGTAACAGACTATGTGATTTTATGGTTCTTTACTGTCTATATAGTACGATAGCATTTTTACGTAAAAATAATTCGACTGAAATTAAATTAAACTTAAACTCAATCTAGTAGGATTCCCATTTATGATTATAAATTATAACGCAAAAAAATAAGGCGGAAATTATATGATCAGATTTTACAATTGGTATAATTTATTAATCGTATATAAGTTATTCGCAAGAGTTGAGACGCTTAATCGGTCCTTTCATTAAAAGAAAGTGTAAAAAGATGTGTACAAGATATCATGTGTCAGGTTGCATAGCAAGTTAAATATAAAAGCAAATAAAACACGAGTTCGAACACACATATAACGTTAAATATGTTCACTGAAGTATGTGAACTAATGGAATATAAAATAATGTATGGAATTGGAGTTATCAATTAAAACACTACATAGAGCAAGTTCTTCTTAGGTGATTAAAACTTACAATAACTATCATCGTCATACAATAACTATCAGGATCGTACAATAACTATCATCATCGAATGAAGGTTTTTTTTATTACGAAATATTCTCATGAAATGATAGCTTTCGCCATGTTATGCAGCTGGTATTTTGCATTTATCTAAATCATTAAAATAGGGATGCTTCAGTGCAGCTCGTGCAGATATTCTGTACACAGGATCATACTTAAGCATAGACTGTAACAAATCTAGCCCGTGCGAATCCAAATTCTTTACTTGCGACTCCAAATTATTCGTCATCCAATTCGGGAACGTCGCTTTATAATCCGACAGCTGTGTGACTCCTGGCCAAATCTCTTCTGTAGGTGTCCTCAGTATTCTGCGAAACACCACTGTCGTTATTCGCTTCCGTAAGGGTGACAATATCTCTGAATGACAGTTTATAAAAATATCACCTGAATATCCTAAACAGCTGGTCTATCTCACTGTCTCCCTGGAACAATGGCTTTTTGGTTGTCATCTCTGCAAAAATACATCCGATACTCCATATATCAATCGCACAGGAATATCTAGTAGCTCCAAGCAGAATTTCAGGCGCTCTGTACCACAATGTCACTACTTCGTGTGTGTATATTCTAACTGGGATCCCAAACGCTCTTCCTAATCCGAAGTCTGCCACTTTAATAACTCCAGTTTTGTCAATCAGCAAATTCTGCGGCTTTAAGTCACGATGTAATATTCTGCGCTTGTGACAAAACAGAATGGCACGTGTGATCTAAAACAATAAGCTTCTATATTGATATTACTATACTATCTCAGTTTTCTTAGAGAGTAAAAATTTCAGATTGTATAATTTTATAATACAAACAGAAAAAAGAGTTAGCTCTCAATCAGCTAAAAACTGGTTCCCACATGTAAAAATTAGTTTTATTTTCTCAGTGTAGTTTGGAACACAGCCAATGGTTCAACGAGAGAACTTAACTTTCTGGGAATGAATGAGAAACAAGTCTTATTGAGCTATCATCTATGTTCCATGCAATATACAACTCAAACTTAATTTTTTTTGTCCCCGTACTTAGTTTTTAGTCTCCACAACTAGATCAGGTAAATTTCATTCATTATATGAACAGCTAATTCGTTTCCTCCATGTATTTATGTATATCATAATATTAACATATGTAACGAGACAAATGAAATATCAATTCATTTAAATGAAGAATATTTAAAAACCTTTGTGTATACAAACCTGAAATAAATATGACTTGACCATTTCTGGTTCCATTAGCTTGTTGCCTAAAGTATCCATGTATTTCTTCAGGTCCATAGTCAGGTACTCGAAAATAAGATACAGTTTTGCTTCCTCCATTAATACATCAATTAAACTCACAACGTTCGGATGATTCAATTCCTTAAGTAATGAAATCTCCCTGATAGCGGTTGATGGTATTCCTTCATCGTCGCCTTCTAGACGAATTTTCTTCATAGCTACAATCTCTCCAGTCTTTTTGTGTTTTCCTTTATATACCACTCCATATGTGCCTAAAGAACATTGAAATTTGTAAGCATTATATCATGTTCACACTATTGAAATCATCGAGTCATCTACTTATAAGAACTGAAGGCTGATTGTTCCACCTTCCGATATATTTATCTATCTAAATTTATCCAACATATAAATATTTAAAGAACGTGTTCATATGGTAATAAACTACAAGAATATGAAAAAATTACTGGTATACTAACTAGCGGTTGAAGAACTCGATCAAAGAGCAATAATATACCAATCATTTTTCATATTCTTGTAGTTTATTTCTGCATGGGGATGGAATGTTCTTCAGATATTTGTCCATTAGATAAAGTTTACTCGAACATAAACAACCTGATATCTATTTAATTAAAGTATTTTTTCATCTTACTACAAATACACGAGCAAAACATGTAAAATGCTCGAAAACTGGATGCATGGTGGAAAGTTGGCCCTCATTTATTATAGCTATGTTACAAATAATATGTGTACGCGATTGGTATGACTTTTCGACAACAATTTAATTGCTACTGAAGAGAGACAGACAAATACTTCCTGATTTTACAATGAAACGAGCAATTGGCGACAGAATTGTCGTAGTTTCCCTGTGTGCTCACCTTCCCCGATTTTCTCAATTTTTATATAATTCTCCATTTACGCGTGATGATAGAAAGAGACCTGTAGTGATAAACTGTCTCAATGCCGTTCGACGGGGCTTCGCACGACTTTTTACACGTGCACAAGGCCAGTCCTAGCGTCTCTCACAAACTTCGCCAAGTGTCGCCCATAACGTAACGAATAAATTTAAATCAAACGCACGCCGTGTTTGGTTCCTTTTAGCTGAATGTTGTGCCAGTGTCGCCAGGCCGTTTCGAAGATTATCCCCTAACGTATATATTTTCAGATCCTCTAAAAATCCCTAGGCCGTTATTCATAGCCGGATCGTACATCTTAAGGTTTATCTTCAGATGTTCTGCGGCTCATTTCATTGGCTACGAAACATCTGAAGATGAATTCAAGACGGTCTCACGTGTAAGACTCGATTATGGTGGGATTTGGTCTCCGTTGACCATCGGCTACATCGATTGGACGACACTAGAAAATCACCAGATCACGTCTGGTTGTGGTTGGTGGTGGCCAATTGCAACGTGGTCAAACGGGATCCTTCCTTCCAAGACTGTCATGTGAATTTGTCACTAGCGACTGGTTTTCTATTTAAAAACTCTCTTTTAACAACCTAAAGTCGACATAGATGGCGCATAATCCTAACCCTGAGCCAGATCAAAGAACTGAACTGCGACGCTTAGTTTTGTTTTCACAGTCGGTCGTAGTATGCATGTCGGTATATTTTTCAACGATGGACAAAATCGAGTATCGTTCCGTGATTAAATTTTTGAATCTAAAAGGGGAGACCTCGAAGGAAATCAAAGCCCAGTTGGATTTCGTTTACGGTGACTCCGCTCCTTCGTTTACAACGGTTAAAGTTTGGGTCGCCCAATTTAAGCGTGGCCGTACCAGCGTGTTCGATGATGAACGTTCGGGTCGCCCAAAAACCGCAACGAATGATGCAATGATCGACAAAGTGCATCAAGTCGTGCTGGATGATCAGAGACTGAAAGTCAGAGAGATAGCAAGTGCCGTAGGCATATCCGCCGAACGTGTGTTGAAAATATTGAGTGAAGATTTGGGTATGAGGAAGCTTACCGGGCGATGGGTGCCGCGTCTGCTGACATTGGACGAAAAACGCATTCGACACAACATTTCGAAGGAGTGTTTGGACCGGTTCCAGCGGGATACTACGGATTTCTTGCGTCGATTCGTGACTGTTGACAAAATATGGATCCACCGGTACACACCCGAGAGCAAGAAACAGCCGAAACGGTGGACCTTGGCGGAGAAACCTGTCCCGAAGAAGGCGAAGACGTCCCATTCGGCCGGAAAAGTCATGACGACCGTTTTTTGGGATAGCCATGGCGTATTGCTCGTCGATTACCTTCAGAAAGAGAAAACCATCACTGGCGAGTATTACGCATCATTGTTGGAACGTTTGGACGAAGAAATCGCGAAAAAACGACCGTATTTGGAAAAGGAAAGAGTGCTTCTTCACCAGGACGACGTGCAAGTCCCCACGTCTGCAATCGCCATGGCCAAACTACACGAGTTAGGCTACGAATTGCTCCCTCATCCTCCGTATTCACCTGATCTAGCCCCCTGCAGCTTCTTTCTGTTCTCGAACATGAAGAATTGGCTGACAGGGAAAACATTCACGACTGTCGACGAAATGACTGCTGCTGTGAATGACTATTTTGCAGGATTTGACCAAACTTACTTTACCGATGGAATAAAAGGGCTGGAAAAGAGATGGACCACATGCATAAAGTTAAAGGGAGACTACATTGAAGTATAGAATCGATTTTGCTCAAAAATATAAGTTTCAGTTTTGTGAAACTTGTCAAACAACCCTTGTATTTATTTTCTCTCTTTTATGTATTATCTTCTGCCGGATGCTGCCATTGAATACACCATCGGCTGCATTCCAAATTACATCAAAAAGAGAAAATACTTAAATAGTATTGAAACTAAGGTTGTGTTTGGAAAGCGCATTCTCAGTGTTATTGCATCATTCTATCCTTGTTTTATGTCCAATGAGCGATAAAGATAGCAGCCCAAATGTACATAACGGACTGATACGTAATTGTTTTTTATTCTGCACTCTGCTCGAGATAAGACCGTGTCTCTTAATTTACACAGTATGATGGAATTTACAAAGGAGTTCGATTAATTTAGTTGAAATTATAATTGCACGCAGTTCAATGAGATTCAAATTCAAAGCCAGTGTAATAGTAAATAATGGATAGTGCGTCTTATGATCTTTAATTTTCTGTGAAATATATATCATTGATGCATCATACAAAAATCACACAGTAACATTTGAATTTTATGCAAGCGCAAATCTTTTTTATCAATTATATATATTCGAAATATGCATTTCTCAAAACTGATTTTGTTGCTAAAGTAAAAAATATTTATTTGAAGTACAAAATATCGTGAAGTACATCGTGTACGAGTTCTTATGATTAAGTAACGCCAAGTTCTTCCGAAAGTATATGTATTTTCTACCAAGGCATTTATGNAAAGGACTTTTAAACCCTTTTCATTCAAAACCAGTGTATATGGTATATCTGAACTCTACTGGCAAACTTACAGGACAGATTCTATATTGAAAAATAAATAAAAAAAACCATTGGTCGCGATAAGCGGGTTAAAAATGCTAATACTTTTTTATAAAAGAATATGTTTAGTTACTTATTTGTACAATATAATTTAATAAATAAAATAAAATTTTTTTCAACTAAGATTGCGGCAGCTATTATTTTAGAAACTAAACGTTAGAAGTATTTATTAAGACGTTTTCATTTTTTTTTTATGTAGAATCTATTCCGTGAGTTTGTCGATGAAGTTTGAATACATTCTGTATAGAAAGGTACATGTGGGATATTATGTGTCAAATTATATAATGAAGCAAACTATATAAATATAAAAGCAAGTACAAACACGAGTTTGACACATAACATTAACTATAATCACTGAAAAGTGAACCGATAAAATACTGAGTAACGTATGGAACGGGCATTATCAATTAAGGCCTGGATTCTGAATTTTTATTGATAAAAATGCCTTTAAAAGTGGACTTAGAAACTATCTAATTGATTGAGGAGCTACATTTAAGGCACTTTTATTAACAAAAAAGTTCAGAATATGAGCTTAAAATTCTCCATAGAGCAAATTCTCTCTGGACAATGAAAATATATCGAACAAATTCTGGTCTCTTCCAGATGGCTTTTGTGTCGTGTTACGCCGCCGGTATTTCACACATATCTATATCATTGAAATAAGGATGCTGCAATGCTGCTCGTGCGGATATTCTGTACACAGGATCATATTTAAGCATCGACTGTAACAAATCTAGACCACACGCATCCAAATGCTTAACATGCAACTCCAAATTATTTGTCATCCAATTCGGAAACGTTGCTTTATAATCCGACAGCTGTGTGACTCCTGGCCAAATCTCTTCTGTTGGTGTTCTCAGTATTCTGCAAAATATCACTGTCGTTATTCGCTTCCTCAAGGGTGACAATAGCTCTCGATAATGATCACTTTATGAAAATTTCTTTTACCGGAATATTCTAAAGAGCTGATCTATCTCACTGTCTCCCTGGAACAATGGTTTTTTAGTAGTCATCTCTGCAAAAATACATCCAATACTCCACATATCGATTGCACAGGAATATCTAGTAGCACCAAGAAGAATCTCAGGTGCTCTATACCATAACGTCACCACTTCATGCGTATATATTCTAACTGGAATCCCAAATGCTCTTCCTAATCCAAAATCCGCCACTTTAATAACCCCTTTTCTGCCAATCAGCAAATTCTGCGGCTTTAAGTCGCGATGTAATATCCTGCGCTTGTGGCAAAACAATATGGCACGTATGATCTAAAACAATAGGCTCTTGTAACGATATTACTATATTACCAATTTTTACAAATTTCATATTAATGATATCGTAATATTTATATATGCGTCACAATATATGGCCCGTTCTTTATGGCTGAACTGACTGCACCAATTCAAGGAATTTACATACACATTGAAACATCTGAAATATACGGGTGAGATTTTCATGCTTCAGTGTGCGTAAATTTCTTGAATTAATAGAGCTAGTTCTGTAAAAAAAAAAAACGGACCAATAATGTTAACAGGCATAACAAGACGAGTGCAACATCACTGAAATAAGGATTGTTTTAAAATCTCTTTTTCGTATATACAAACCTGAAATACATATGACTTGATCAGTTGTGGGTCCATTAGCTTGTTGCCTAAACTATCCATGTATTTCTTCAGATCCATAGTTAAATACTCAAATATAAGATACAATTTTGATTCTTCCATTAAGACATCCATTAAATTCACAATGTTCGGATGATTCAATTCCTTAAGTAATGAAATCTCTCTGATAGCGGTTGATGGTATCCCTTCATCGTCACCTTCTAGACGAATTTTCTTCATAGCCACAATTTCTCCGGTCTTTTTGTGTTTTCCTTTATATACCACTCCATATGTACCTAAAGTACATTGAGATTTATATGTATTATATACTTTATATTATTAAATTTTATATTATTGATTTATATATATTATATATTTCATATTATTGATCAAATCATCTATTCATAAGATTTGTGTATAAATGTAACCAAGTATAATTATTCTTCAAGTATAGATGAGACAAACCTAATGTCCATTTAATAAGAATATTTCTTTATTTTATCACAAATACACAACACAAACATACAAAAGCACAATATATACAGTGTGAAAGAACTTGATGTATGATAAGAATGTAAAGTACATGTCCTTTATTCATTTCTTAAACTTTAACTATATCAGATACTCTATTGTTGTGCTATTCGACAATTAAATCACTGTTGATGAAAAGTCAATAAACATAGCTTAATTTTACACACGGTAAAACACTGGCGATTAGCAACAGAATTATCACGGATCCCCCCATGTGCTCACCTTCTCCGATTTTCTCGATTTTTATGAAATCTTCCATTGTACGTAATGACAGAGAGGTTACCCGGTAAGGGCTTTGTATACAAATTGCTGCAATTATAAATGTAAGAGATGTAAGTTAAAACTGAAGGGCCAATCAGATTATTGCTTTAGGTTTGTATATTCTAGAAGAAAATAAAACGGAGACTCGAACCTCGAGTCATTCGTAACTATTCGTATATGTAACTTGCGAGTGATATCCATTGAACGTACACTCGGTCACAGAAAGGTTGCAACAGTTTTGTTTCTCATATTTCGGAACACACCAAAATTATGACGAAGCGAACCTATGAATTGACGATCATGCGCAATAAGTGATCTGACAGCTATCAAGTGGCGACTCTTAACGGAGGGTTCTAGAACTAAATTACAGAAATAACGGGTCTAATAATTCCGAAAACCCGTTATTTCTGTAATGAATATCTTATTAATGTAACAGGTTTATGGAATTATTAGACCCGTTATTTCTGTAATTTAGTTCCAGAACTTCCGCTACGAGTCGCCACTATACTTAATAAGAAACCGAGGTCGTGATATGACTAACCGATTGTCACATGGCACACGGTTGAATTCATTCGTGAATTAAAAGCTAGGTATAAGAATTAGCCTCTGGTAACTTGCAGTTGAGACATGAATAAGACAAGACCTTGAAACTTTACCGAATGCAGGATATAATCAGGCTGTAATCATTAATCATTTTAATCATAATTAAAATTTAAATGATAAGTAAATGGGAATAGTGCCATGGAGCCGGACGTACTTTTTATTTCTCAAGTAGTTCAAATCGTTTTGAAACGGAATATGCAAAATATATTTGTCCGTATATTATATTCAATTATATTCTTGGCAAAATTTAGCAGCGAAAATCTTTCATGCACAACACACGTAAATTGATAATAACCAAGTAAATCATTGATAAAAACACGGATTATAACGAAATTAAAAGAAACAAAATCAAGATTTCTGAAGGAGACACGCTATAAACGACAGACGAATAAGTGAGGCGTGTGTGTATACACATATACGAACTCTCTTTCTAGATAATCTTAATAAATTTATTTCCAGTGCTTAGAACAAAAATACAGAACTTCGTGGTGAACTTTGAAAACTGAACCAGCTATAATTCACTATCGACTCAGGGGGCGATTCAAATGAAAGGCTTATTAATTAAATCTCTCGTTACCCAGTGAAAGTAATCAAATCTACCAGATCGCTGATGTTGAACGCAACTACATTTCATACATTTGTCTATCGGTATTAAATGGGTGGATGTCGGGAAGAAGAGGAGGAGGTGTTTCAGTGTGTTCATCGTGGAAATTGATAGCCACCAGTAGCATAACCTAACCCAACACCACGTTGAGTATGAGTGGTGGCACGCGCAACTTCATACTGTTGTTCCATATTGTTAAACATCTCCTCCTGTTTCTTCAGAATATCCGGTTTAGCCCCTACTACCGGAACACTTGGCAGATCGCCCTTGATGCCCATCAAACGTTTGAATTTCGCGGTTACCTTCCCATCTTGATCATGAGTGAAGGTCGTGCCCATCCATGTATTGGCAGTGGAAGCTGCGGTCGACGAGCTGTTACCGTCGTCTGGTTTCGACTGTAAAGAAGAAAAAGACAGCAATGAAGTTGCAGATGCAAACAGCGTTAGCTACTCGCGGACAATATCAATCGTAACGATGCTATATACTCATTGCGTGTCACCTTGTTCGCCCACAGCAGCTTCCTCTTCTGTATCTGCTCCGCGTACTTGCCCTGCGTCGCCGTCGCCAACGGATTGTAATAATTCTGCTCGGTTTGCACGCCGGGCGTTACGGAGTCACCCTCGGGTGGCTTCAACTCTATCCCCAATTTCTCCAGCTGCGCCAACTTGTTCCGTCCCTTCTCCTCCCGGTAGCTCATCGTCCTGAACGGCAGTGGCGCGCGATCCCTCGATCGCGACCTCGACCGCGCGCGATCCTTCTCCTTGTGATAACTCGAACGCTCGTCTCGGTGTCGATCCTTCGACCGGTCATCCCTGGAATGTCGCCGATCCCTCTCCCTGTCGCGGTCCCTACGCCGATCCCTCTCGCGATTTCGATCCCTCCTGTCGTCCCTGTAATGATGATCCTTGTCGCTCCTCTCCCCCCGGTCGTCGCTCTTCTCATCCTTGGACGAGCCGACCGACTTTCGCGACTTGTCTTCGTCTCGCGACTTCCTATCGTCGTCCCTATTTCTCTTCGAATCCCTGCTATCCCTGTGACTGCTGTCACGCTGCTTCCGGTCGTCGTACGAAGAGCGGCGACCTCCTTTGTCGGACACGTGACGGCTACTGCTACTGCGTTCGCTCCGCTCCCCTCGCTTATGATCGTCTTTCGAGCTCGTATGATTCTCAAGATTCTCGGTTCGCCTGTAAAACGATTACGTTCTGCAGGGGTATACCACACAGATGCGTATTATTATTATGTATATAACAGGTGGATAATTTTAATAGAACAAACCACTATCATTTCTTTTTTCTATCACGCACACAGATATATCGAAATATCGCTAGCACCTGTATTATATTAGCAAACCAGCCTACCTCTGGTCTGACGGAGAAGATAAGGACCGAGACGATTCCGTTCTCGAACTAAAGGTAGACTGTGTCACCAGGGGGCTGTTCACACGTTCGCTACTGGATTCCCTGGAGGAATTGTTGTTGTTGCTCTCCTAGAGAAGAGAAAAATCATCAACTTCAATATGACTCCCTTGTGTATTTCACTAAATATAGAAATAGCTCTTAATTTCCTAGCGCAAAAGCTATTTCGAGATATACAGAAGTTCAATACACGCAAAGTTGGATCTTTCCGAGAGTAAATAATAATACCGTATGCCAGAAGAACTCATAATTCACAAGTTTACAAAGAACGCTCTAACATAGGACATTAAGAGGTAACACAAAGTAATTTCTCTCTACAGAATCGGAAATTCGTTTTCTCGCATCCTTGGTTGTACTTGATACAAAAGTTCGGTGACACGCAAATCTTCACGTGTTGCTAGATTCTATCTATAAATCATGTATACATGTTTGTATGTTAATTACCAGTAGGCAAATGGAACCAACGTACGAGACAACTGTGTGTTGCAAGAAAGAGAGAGGAATATGAGGGCCCTTCACATCAATCTGCTTCCGCAGTTAGTATCACCCGACTATATTTTTGTACTTGTGGTTTCTTTTTGATGGTGATGTTTTGTTAGTGTTACCTTCTGTCAGCTTCCTCTACTCACCTATGTCTTCTGAATAGGACTTGGGGGTAGTCTTGAAAGACCCTCACACAGCATAGACCTTGCCGAGATGCGTAGATATTGTATCATGTATTACCAACAGAGCTACGTGTTAATATTGTCTCACGAAATGGCACTATTCCCATTTACTTATTATTTAAATTTTAATTATGTCAATGATTACAGCCTGATTATATCCTGCGTTCGGTAAGGTTTCAAGGTCTTGTCTTATTCATGTCTCAACTGCAAGTTACTAGAGGCTAATTCTTTTACCCAGCTATTAATTCACGAATGAATTCAACCGTGTGCCATGTGACAATCGGATCAGAAATATTGTCAACGCTAGGAATGGTGCTTCTGCTCCTCACAGACCACACTTGCTTGTCACAGATAACTTTAATTGATCATCATTTTATTGACATGACCTTGTAAAACCAGATATTAGCCTCTTTACGTATCAGGCCTAAGACTTTGCATGTATATACAGCACCCATAAAGTCACAGCGGTATCTTCTTAGGCTTTGTCCGAATGTTTCGTACTTAACGCTAAGTAAGGATCATGGTGTGTGCTTTTACTATACCTCACTCATGTCCATTTGTACCGGGTCGTAGTTGGCATCGCTGGCCCTCCTATTTGTCTCTTCCTGCTCTTGAATAGGTGTCTTGAGAGAAAGAGAGAGAGAACACAGACAAGAAAGATATGAGATATCAAAGAAGTACGAATCCTATCTATCGCTAGTCACAACGATAGACATGGGATCATACATTTTATATATATATATACATATATATATTCCTGTTTTGTTTCTATACATTATGCAGCCCACAAATAACGCGAGGAAAATTCACCGCATCTTGTACGCACGATCTCGAGGAAAAATATTTCTTCCGAACAAACGATACGCGGTACTCCGGTATTGGGAATCCGCGCGTACCGGGAAATAATATTTATCGAATGAATGCGCATAGAAAGGGGCCATGTTGAAGCGGTATACGTTGCTATCGCAAAGCGTCTTGAGCAACGACGAGCGAGATCCGGGCTGTTGAGAACGCATTTCGCTCGTTTCTCCGCGAGCTGCTCACCTTCGCATCGTCCGAATTGTTACTGTTGTCGCCGTCGCTGGCGTAATTCGCCAAAGAATCCATAGCGGCGTACGAACAGCCGAACTGATCAACTAACACGAACTATCGAACAGAAACGAGGATATCGTCAGCGCTGCTGCGCGGCGCGTCGATCTTAATTCGCTTGATTCGTGCGCGCACGCGCACGCTCGCTATTGGCCGAGCACGGCCAAGTGAAGCTCGAACAGGCTGTATCTACGTACCGTCCGTTCTTTCGACTACCGCTTCTTGTATCTCTCTCTTCTTGCGCATGATCTATTCTCTCTCTCTCTCTCTCTCTTCTTCGACACCTTGGAACGAACCCATTTCATTTTTAATATTTAACAGGAAGAATAATACAGTTATCCCCACAGAAGCTGCAACTGTTTATTTTTAGATTTATGTTTACAACTGGGTTCTCTCTTTCTTTTCTACCAGGAATATACGTTGTTCCATTTTTAACAAGTTTCCTTATATATTACTTATGGTAAGTTTTCAAAGGAATTTGGAACTGCTCCTTGTTTTATCTTTCTCTTCTCGTTAGTTGCGTATCTCGTATATTCTAGTTCAGACTTTCCTTTCTTTTAAAATATATAAGAAAATCGAAAAGTTTGCGGACCGTTTTTGATGATTTTGAGAAGAGGAGAGTCGGAAATTAACTTAACATAAAGTATTCCCGTCGATTCGTCCTGACACAGCTGATTTTCCTGACGGCTGCGAGTATATTCGCACGTATCGGATTACCATCGTGTGAACGTGAGTATACCGAAGGGGTTAACGAGCGTTCTCTCTCCGCGCGCGCACGTGCGATCGACGGTATAAAAATAACGGATTTTTTTCTGTATAACGTTGAGAGACTACGACGCACGTGTCTCTGCACTTTCTCGTCTCGTTGGTATTTTCTCACCATTATAATGCAATTGTAATTTCTCATCGAATGGAAGTGGAAGATTAACGAAAGGAACAGGTGGATGGATGTGTGTCGGCCAACGCATGAGACGATGTGAGTGAGAAAATTGTTAACGAGAGATCTGCGAGGTGTAAACACGCGACACTTCTGACTTCCTCTCGCTCGAAACATATCATTAGCGTTAAATTACAGTCTCTCTCATATATTATTATTTGTTGCTTTTTTCTCACATACTCCAAGCGGCTATTTTTCCAACGTTTCTGCACATTTTAAAAAACATTTGTGTTTAAGTCGGCTCTTGTTCAATCATTAAATTGTCAATATAGCCGTATATTAATCTGTGTTTATATTATAACATATTGTGTTGGTTATTTTATTATTTTGAATTGATATTCAATATGTGTAAATATTAAAGTAATGCATTTTATACTTCAGTTTCATTAACGCTTAATATTATGGGTATTTATTTTGTGTTAATTTTAATTATTGGCATAATATTCGTATTACTTTTCCATATATTCATCTTGTGTAAAATTCGCACAAAAGCTCGTGTGGACCGTCTGGACAATATGTTAAATTTATAAATTTAATATACATTTTTTTAGCGCGATTTTAAATCAAAATTAGCCGGTATGAATCGCGATAAGTTAAGTGAATAAGGTAAGATTGCCCGTCGTTACTCAAAACGTTACGATTTAACGGATGAAACGGAGAATCGATCAAGTGGCGGTTAATTAGTGTCAACACGATCTACCTTGGACCGATTGTATCGCAAGTTAGAACATCTTTGTCTGTGGAAACCAGGACGCTCGGTCGATACAATCAAGAGATCGCACGTTTATATATCGTCGAGTTATACATCATCGAGAAGAGCTATATACTTGACCGAACGCATCGGGGATGTGAATATAATCGGGGGACCGATGTGCAAGGGGGATTTCAGCGGTTCTCTCGGGCCCGGGAGCGTCGTAACGATTCGCGCGAAGCATCGAGGAAAGAAGTTCCTGCGAAAGAAAGAGAGAGAGAGAGAGAGAGAGGAGGAGGAGCGTCACGGGCACGAGCGAGAAAAGTGCGCAAACCTGGGGACGGAGTGCACACGTACGTACACGTGCGTACGTACAGTTATTTCTATAAACACTCGTGTGCATTACGGCACTTCCACCTTCCACTTCTCGAGTCGTTACTTTACATCCTAAAGAGCTACTTGAGAAACACGATAAGATCCTCTTATTTCAACCGTCTGCGCTATAATTTTATCTAAACTACGCCAGTTTTTCATCATTTGTCGTTTGCTACTTGCAAAACCCATCGACAAAAAGGAATAACACGATCAGCCCGATATCAGTAGTGTCTCATGAAAGCTATTTCTCGTCGCTCGAAGTTTCATTTTCAGGTCGAGTATTCTGATTAATTAGAGGGGAATCGAAGGGGCCGTGCGGATTAGGACAGACAAGAAGTGCCTCAACGCGACACACACACACACACACATAAAACACGTGTGAGAGAATCGATAGATCGTTTCGATCGGATTCGCGAAGGCAGCGGGAACGCAGAATGCCGCGCTATCTCCGAATATTAACGGGAGTAACTGTACGTACACACGGGGAACGTTCTCGGCATCGACGCCGCGCGCGGAGCTGCGCCGCGCCGTGGCACGGGGCGAACCACCGGGACGCAACAGTCGCTCGCCGGACTTGGTGCTGGAGTGTTGCCGTCGTCGTCGTCGTGTAGCGTACCGTGGCCGCGCGTTTAGCTAGTTGCGCTACACAGCCTCGTGATTATTTACTGTGATATCGCTTTCTTCCCGGACTACTCGATCGTTGTCTGTTTTCCGAAGCGAATTAAAACGCACCCACGCAGATCGCCCAGGTTGCTCCCGACCAGGTAAGTAAATCGTGCGATCTCGCGCGGAGGATTCGCGAGGGATGCGATCGCGCGGCGCGACCGCCTCCCGGGTTGCTTGCACCTCGATGACCTCGGGGGGAGAGGGGGTGCACAATGTGGGTTAGCGTTACGTCCGATCCCATCGTCGTCGTCGTCGTCGTTTTCCGTGCCCGCATATACGCGACAACGACGGACGGTCAGCGCCCGGGGAGCACGATCTCTCTCTCCTTTTCTCTCTTTCTCCCTCCGGGAGGGGGTTTCTTCCCTCCGGGAAGAATCGGTCGAGCGAGGTGCGATCGAAGTGCAACTGGTCCCGAGGGCTCGTCTCGCGCTATGTAGGTTACCATTAATCCCGATTAAACTCATCTCCCCTTCCCTGCGTGCGGCGTGGGTACTGCTGTGATCTAGAAAATGAAAGCGAACGGTCGATCGCAATTGAATGATCGGTGTAATCGCGATTCGTAGGATAACGCTAACTGGCGCTAATCCCGTTTTCCCCGATCGTGATGGAAAATTTGAGGAAATTTTGCCGATTCGCCGAAACACCGTCGAGAGAGTGAGAAAGAGAGAGAAAGAAAGAGAAAAAATCACGTTGCGTGATTTCGTTCTTGTTGTATTTTATATTATTTTCTTCGTATTACACGCACGTACACGCGCTGAAAACCATCGATCGTCCGGAAAACGCTCGATTCCACCGCAGGTGGAAGCACAGAATCCCAGAGAGGTCAACGTACCCGTCAATGGAGCCGTTCACAGCTTCATTTTCGAGCAAACTAGATAGCGAGGCAAGTTTCGCTCTCCCGAGGGAAGAAAGAGAGAGAGAGAGAGAGAGAGGCGGTAGTAGGTAGCAGTATTCTCAAATGCAGCTCTCTGATAACGCGATCGAAGCAACCCGGCGAAGCAACTCCCGTCCCGCCGCCGCCGGAGTGTCGTGCCGCTGATTCTCTCTCGTTCCACTCGAATCTACGTGACCTGTTTCCCCCGTTGGTGAAATCAGCGCCAATTGTTTCAAACGGGCGACATCCTCCGGCAGTTTCGACCGACGATTTCCCGAATCCTCGAACGATAATTAAGCTCGAGGTGTTCTCGCCCCGACGAGCGCCTTCGGCCGATCGGAACGTCCGATATTGTACACCGATATTGCGGAAGTGCATCCCTCAGACCGGCGTTTCCCAGCTTCGTGTTCTCGTACGTGCTCGCATACGTTCGTTGCTTGTGTCGTCGTCGGTCTCTCGGCGTATCGAGGCGAGATTGTATCGTCGAAGGCGCGTAACTGCGTAACACACCAGCTCGCAGCGCGATCGCGATGTCCGCTTAATCGACGCTCGTGGCGCGGAGATATTTAACGTTACGCGTGACGGTGACGACACGAAACGGTTGGAGGTAGTGATACGTGATGTGCGAGCGTAGCAACGCGTCGTCGGCGCCTTTAATTTTAACGAAACCAGCGTGAGCGATGCTCCCGCTCGGATCTCCGCGGAAATCTCGATCGATCGAGAGAGAGAGAGAGAGAGAGAGCGGCGCGCGAGCTCACCGCATTCGACGGCGGAACGGACGCAACACGAACGACCTGTCGGCAAAAAGCGTCACGAGTGTGTGCGCGGAAAGCTCGACGTGTGAGAACGCGCCCCGGTGCGATCATCTGGCGGTTTCTTTCTACCCGGTGCGCTGCTAGTGGTGGCGATGGCGGTGGTGGTCACTCGCCTTTCGTGACCCGCGATGGATGATGCCGCCGTTGCACCACTATACGCTCGCGCTAATCGTTTCCGCGAGCGCCGGGTGAGAATCCTCTCCTGCGAAGCGACTTCTCAGGGGGGAATCGCGCGCGCCTCTCTCTCTCTCTCTCTTTCTCTCGCGAAGACAATAAGCGCATCACTCACGACACGAATTTACGGCACACATATGCGTGATATCGCGGAGAAAATGTGAAGAAGAACCTTCCTTCCTCCTCGTCGATCTTATAGACGTAGGCTTATGCCGGAACGAAGCGCTATAGCATGAATGTTGGTCGCTTCCGAGGCGAAACGACGAGGGAAGCGTGCATCTCGGCGCTAAACATGCGATAGGAGGATGAATTACGCTCGAGTTTGGTATCGACCGGCGGCCGCGTACCATCCGGTTCCATCGGCGAGAGAGCCGCCCGCGGAGGAGCGTTTCAGGGATCCCAAGCATTTTCCTTGAGAATAATTGCGGGAGTTAGGCGCACGTAGATAAATAATCCGGAGGGACAAAGCAAATTTCTCTCACGCTTATGTCGTGCAGCAAACAGATAAATTCTTCCTCTTTCTGCTCTTTTCGTTTTCCCCAGAAGATCATCAATTTCCAGCCGCGATGTACCTGTGGAAATTCGCGCGCAGTATTTATTCTCGTCCTCTTCCTCCCTCCCTTTCACGAACGTTCGCAATTTGCACGGGGGAATAATGTGAGATATCGAGAGCACGGACAAGGAAGCTGGATCGATTCGAGTATATCGTCACTGCCAGAAAACGATCGAGCCGGCCGGTGAGGCGCGCACTGTCGCGAACCAGTTCGTAGGACTTCCACACCGCCACCTTATCACGGCGGGATCTTCCCGCTCTAATACATACGCACGTGTACGTACACCGTGCCATTATGCCAGCGGGCAAGAGTAACGCTCTCGTGTCACTCCGCGCGTAACGCGAGCGTTCGCCCGGCGACCTAAGCGCTCTCGCCCGTAGGGCGGTTGCACCGGCTGAACGGCGCGCTTACCGCGATTTAGAAGTGCGTAAACTTTGCGAACATGCGTTACAAATTTCCCCAGACCCTTCCCGGACGATTGTCCAGAGAATTCGCGCGTCAAAGAGAGGCCCGCGAATTTGTCACGGGCACGAACCCGTTCAGCGTCTTAAGACGAACTTAATACGATCTTAAACATAAAATTTGACTATGAATACCGGTCTGAGCGTTAAATTGTAACGCAATTTCTGGCAAAATGCGTTACTAACACTACCGGGTGCTGCAATTTCGGGGGATTTAAGCGTTGTTACGATTTTCGACAGCGGAATGCCTTCTGAGAAATTATGCGTTTTATATTTTACCGCTTAGTAAAGACTTGCTATATTTATTCTAGATGCGAAGTAAATGCATCTCGCAATTGACAGACGCGTCTCGTTCTCCCGTCGAAATATTTTACATATTGATTTTTCCCGTTGATATACGCGTGGAGATTATATTTTCCACTGTGAAATCGCCCACGAATATCTTGCGCGATCTTGCTACACAAGTTTCTCGTTTTCTCGAAGCTCGTTCTTTCTATCGGTCGTTCCTTCCATCTCTCGACTCACGTCGCTCACTCTTTCTCTCTCCCTCTCAATCTTCCTCCGTTTCCTCTCCTCTCTCTTTTTCCTTCTCGCGCTCGTGATCCGACATCGCCGCGGTTCCGTTATCCGCGGTAAATACATGCTCTGGGCATCCTGTACGTTTTACCTCCGGAGAAAATAAACAGCATGCGGCGTGGCATCGATTGTACGTTATTGACACCGTATATACATGCACGATCGGACTGAAAAACTGAGTGACTAGGCGGAATCAAACCCCGCACTTTTAGGCCGCGCTTAAACCAACAACTTTTTTCCACCGATCGCTATTTATAACGGTATAGCGGCCAAGTGTCGTGACAATAATAGATCAAGATTGAACTATCAATCAACTAGCGGCGATTAAATCAAGCAGTTGTGCTTCCACGAATTGTCGGTAATCGAGAGTATCGAGAGTTTAATAAGACAAAAACATGACGCGCAGAGCAGGACAGACTGGTCGTTATCGATGTGAAAGATATGATAACATCTGTCTTGATCATATAATTACATGTATTATATTTTGTTTGTTTTTTTTTTCTAAATTTTGCGTCGAGAGACACCACGAACGCATCAATTTCCCCGACGCTGAAAGTATGTGTGTTCGGTGTATACCGAAAGTATTTGGATCGCTGGGCGAATTCGCTATTTTCATGCGGAATTCCGGAGAGGACGTTATTGCACACTGAAGATCACAATATCGACAGTGGCCCCGTCTTGCGGCGATGGCACTGCCATTGTCCCGCGAAACTTCGCGGAACGAACGAAATCGGTTATTGGAAAAGTACCGGCGCGTCTACCGGTCGTCTCTCTTGCGTGGCTTCGCGAAAGTTTCTTCCACTTATTTCGCGACGGAACTTTCAATCGTGCCGACGATACGGTACTGGTCGTCGTGCGCGAATTCACATAAGAGCGCACGATAGACAGAAGAAGTCGTCGTATTGTTCCGCGTAATTATAAACAATTTCGCGAGAAATCCCGGCGAAAGTTTCCGACCGGTAGTTCGGGGATTCTTCGTTTCTCCTGAAAACTCCGTGCGATCGATTGCCGGGAGCAAACGCGCTCGCACTCTTGCGTTGGGTTACCCGGGGCTTTCAAGCACCGTGTTTCCGCGTCGAAATTTGGCTACTTTGATTCTCTTAAAGATAACTCGTGCCTTCGATGCCTATAGAACGGTAAAGACTTACTTTTATCATCGATACGTAAATATGCGGGAAATACGGGAAAATTCGGGGAAAACCCGACGTCACGATCATTTCTTTAGTAACATGCGTTTGTATCGCGCATATCGGTGCATATATTCACAAACATATACCTGATCTAGGCAGCCCCAGGTAAAAGCGTTATAAGCGTGAAACCGTCAAAGCGTGAGAAGCGATTAATTTCTTCATAACTTACTTATACATTATGTAAGTTCGATTGATATTCTCTTGCTACACTGTCAAAGCCGTGTGTCATGAATTATATTTATAAACATTTAGCAAATAGATTTGTCGAGCTTCTTCCTGTCGTATCATTACCTTTCCACCAGTATTGTCACCGACCGATCCTGCTTTAAAGGTTCAACCGTAAGACCGGGATGTAGCAGCGGCGGCGGGTATATCGCCGCGATCTGAGCCTTCCTCGTTCTACAACTCGCGGTAATTCGCGGCATACTTGTGATACAACGCACTTCCTGGCTTC